ACTTCCCTCTTAGCACAGCCTTTGCAGCATCCCACAGATTTTTTGCGGTGTTGAGTTATTATTTTCATTTGTCTTCATATATTGTTTGACCTCTATTTTAATTTGGTCATTGATACGTTGATTATTTAGGAGCATGTTGTTAAGCCTCCATGCATTTGTGGTTTTTTTTGTTTTCTCTGCATAATTTATTTCTAGTTTCATACCTTTGTGGTCTGAGAAGCTGGTTGGTACAATTTCAATCCTTGTAAATTTACTGAGGCTCTTTTTGTGGCCTAGTATGTGATCTATTCTGGAGAATGTTCCATAACCACTTGAGAAGAATGTGTATTCTGATAATTTTGGGTGAAGTGTTCTGTAGATGTCTGTTAGGTCCATCTGCTGTAATGTGCTTTTCAGTGCCTCCATCTCCTTACTTATTTTCTGTCTGGTTTATCTGTCCTTCGGAGTGAGTGGTGTGCTGAAGTCTCCTGAAATGAATGCATTGCATTCTATTTCACCCTTTAATTCTGTTAGTAGTTGTTTCACATAATTAGGTGCTCCTATGTTGGGTGCATAGACATTTAGAATGGTTATATCCTCTTGTTGGACTGGGCCCTTTATATAATGTCCTTGTTTGTCTCATTACTTTCTTTGTTATGAAGTTTATTTTGTCTGATAAAAGTACTGCAACTCCTGCTTTTTCTCCCTATTATTTGCATGAAATATCTTTTTCCATCCCTTCACTTTTAGTCTGTGTATGTCTTTGGGTTTGAAGTGAGTCTCTTGTAGGCAGCACATAGATGGGTCTTGTTTTTATATCCATTCACTAACTCTATGTCTTTTGATTGGTGCATTCAGTCCATTTACATTCAGGGTGATTATTGATAGATATGTACTTATTGCCATTGCAGGCTTTAGATTAATGGTTACCAAAGGTTCAACAGTCTTCTAACATTCTAACTTAACTTGCTGATTGTGTTATTTCAACCACAATCTAAAGGTTCTTTTTTTCTCTCCCTTCTTTTTCTTCCTCCTCCACTCTTTATATATTAGGTCTCATATTCCAAACTCTTTGTGTATCCCCTGACTGACTGTGAGTAGTTGATTTAATTTTGCATTTGCTTAGTACTTATTTGATCTACTTTCTTTACTGTGGTTTTATTTTCTTTGGTGACAGCTACTTAGCTTTAGGAGCACTTCTATCTATAGGAGTCCATCCAAAATACACTGTAGAGTTGGTGTGTGGGAGGTAAATTCCCTCAACGTTTGCTTATCTGGAAATTGTTTAATTCCCTCTTCAGATTTTGAGGATAATCTTGCTGGGTAGAGTATTCTTGGTTGAGGCCCTTCTATTTTTCATTGCATTAAATATATCATGCCACTCCCTTCTGGCCTGTACTGTTTCTTCTGAGAAGTCTGATGATAACCTGATGGGTTTTCCTTTGTGTGTGATCTTTTTTTCTCTCTCTGGCTGCTTTTAAGTCTCTGTCCTTGTTCTTGATATTTGCCATTTTAATTATTATATGTCTGGGTGTTGTTTTCCTTAGGTCTCTTTTATTGTGAGATCTGTGTACTTCTATGGCCTGAGAGACTATTCCCTTCTCCAGACTGGGGAAGTTTTCTGCAATTATTTCCTCAAAGAGACTTTCTATCCCCTTTTCTCTTTCTTCTTCTTCTGGTACCTCTTTAATGTGAATATTCTTCTGTTTGGATTGGTCACATAGTTCTCTTATTATTCTTTCATTCCTAGAGGTCCTTGTTTCTCTCTGTGCCTCAGCTTCTTTGTATTCCTGTTCTCTAATTTCTATTTAATTTAGTCTCCTCTATCTCATCTAATCTGCTTTTAAATCCCCCCATTTTCAGTTTCATTTCAGATACTGTATTTTTCAAAGTTTCTGTCTCTTTCTTGAAGTCCTTCTTGATATCTTGAATATTTTTCTGTAGCTGCATGAGCATGTATATGATTTTTATTTTGAAATCTTTATCAAGATGATCGGTGATTTCAGTTTCACTTAGCTCTCTTTCTGGTGTTTGAGGGATTTTGGTTTGTACCAGATTCTTTTGCCATTTCATGTTTCTAATGATTATTATGGAATAATAACTTTGTGTAGGCGGTACCCTCTACTGATCAGAAGCTCTACTCTCTGGAGCTGCCTAGCCCCTGGAGTGATGGCGGGGGTTGCAGGTGTGTGCTGCTGTTTCCTACTGGGAGGAAAGAGCTCTTTCCTGCTTCCTGGCTGCAGTGCCTGCCTTCTCTGCCAGGGCCAGTGAGCTGAGCATGCAGGGTGGAGCCTCTATGCTGTACCCTTGCAGCTGCTGTAGGCAGGGCCACCCTCCGGCTGGCCTGGTGCAATGGTGGGGGCAGCAGGTTTGTGAGCCAGTGCCGGCCAGGAGGACAGAGTGACAGGCTGAATATTATAGGATAGTGGGGGTGGGGACTTTGGCACTGTGTTGCCAGCCAGGGGAGTGGATTGCCTGAAGCTCCTGAAAGTTCCCAACCTGCTGGGTGAGTGTTCTGGGATGATTTTGTCCACTGTCTTTTCTCCTGAGCAGCAAGCTCTGTGTAATCCTTTCCCATTTAGTGCCTCTGGTTATTGGGAAGTCTTTCAAAGTGCCCACCTTTCTTTTGTCCCAGAGCAGCCAGTTGTTAAGTACCTGTTCTCCACAAGTGGCTGGAATCTGTCTTTCTGAGTATTCTGCCTGTCTTTGCTTTCTGACCTCACTAATCTCCAGACAACCGTGTAATATGGGTTTATGCTCCCAGAGCAGATCTCCAGGGATGGGTGTTTAGCAGTCCTGGGTTTCTGTTTCCTCCCCACTCTGTTTCTCTTCCTCTCGGCCTGTGAGCTGGGGTGGAGGGAGTGCTTGGATCCCGCTGGAACATGGCTTTGCTACTTTTTCATTTTCCATGAGGTTTTCTCTTTTCCCCAAATGCAGGCAGTCCATAACAATCTACTTTCAGGTTGCTCTTTCAGGATTAGTTGTATTTGCTGTGTTTTTGTGTTAATATGTGGTTTTGGGAGGAGGTTTCTGCCTCATTTCTCATGCTGCCATCTTTTCTTCCTCTCTGCACACTGTCATTTTTATTTTTTGCTTTTTTGACTTACGCTGAACACTGTGGTCTCTGCCTCTATCTGACCACCACCTATATGCGGCTCCCAAACATGGACCCCATGCACTCCAAGTTTCATGCCATCCTTTTGGCAAGTGGGCTTAGAAAGGAAGGCTATCCCCCACTTAGATAATTTTTTAAAATTCTCATATGGTGTCTTCTAATAGTATTACAATTTCATTTTTTAAAGGAAAAACTTTTGATTTTTTTTTTTGGTGCAGTGACTGAGGAGTGATCTTTACCTTCTCTTCTCCAGATGGCAACCCTATTGTCCCCACATCACTGACTTAACCACCTATCTCCACCAAGACATTGCACACTCAACCTTCTGTAAACACCTATACATTTTAGGGCTGATTCCTGGCCTTATTCTTTACATCTCTGGTCTCTCTGCCTGAAGTCCATTGCTACTGCCACATTCTTTTAATTATTGTAGCTTTAAAATGTTACAATCTCATTACTCTTTTCGAATTTTGTCAGTTATTCAGGGTGTTTGTTTTTTTGTATGAACTGTACAATCCACTCATCTGTCCCTAAAAATCATTTTCATGATTTTAATTATATTATGATCACTTTGTAGATTAATTCAGGGAGATATCATCTTTACAATGTTAAATCTGTCTATGTAAGAACATGGCATTCCTTTCTAACCATTCCCGTCTCCTCTGTGCCTCTCATGGTATGTTAAAATTCTCATGAGTTTTTGTGGACATTTTCCTGGGCATTTTTTGTTTTGTTGTCATTTCCATGTAAATGGGATATTTCCCAACACAACTCCTAATGATTTTTGGCATAAATGGCAGTTATTGACATTAGAACTTTACCCTTGAGCTCAGCACTTTGCTGAATTTTCTTCTTGTGGTAGTGGGATTTTTGTTATTTTCCTGTGGTTTGTGGTCCTGGACATCCTCCATCCTTGGACTGATTTGGGGGCTTGAAGGAGTGAAAGAAGTTAAGGCTGTTTGTAGGACTTTGAGAGCACCAAGACCAGCTGACAGGGTGGCTCCGAGTGGAGAAGGTCCCCCCTGGTGACCTCAGGGTGCCCGGCCTTCCTCCCAGTGGGCAGGTCAGCAAAGCCAGGGGCCTCTTGAGGGCAGTGGTCTCTGTGAGGAAGCTCAGGGGCTGTGTCCTGAAGACTTCATCTTGAGCATCCCTGAGCTCCCCTGCAGGCTCCTGGGAATACTTGGGGGATGGGCTTGGAGCTTGGGGAGTTCAGCAACAATGATCTGCCCTGAGGCTGGGAAGGACATGTGGGTGACCTATGTCCTTGCTTTTACTCCTCACACAGACTTAACCTTCCCATAGGGAGTCAGATTTTTTTATGTTTAATGCTTGAAAATAAATTAAAAAAGAAAAAAGCCAGGAGAGGTAATGTAAGATTTGAACGTGTTTGGTTGATGGTGCCGTTTATTATATGCCTTGTGCTGAGCTGCATGACATGGCCAATATTCAGCTGTTCAGAGGTTTGTCTTTTTTAAGTGTTTATGTGAGTGTTTTTTATGCAATGTATTGGTGTCCTCGGACTGCTTGACAAGGGGCACAGACTCGGGTGGCTTGAACAGCAGAAATTTGTCTCCTCCCAGTGAGGAGGCCAGAAGTCTGTGGGCAGAGCTGGCTCCCCAGTGAGGCCTCTCTCCTTGGTTTGCGGACAGCGGGCTTCTCCCTGTGACCTCACACACTCGTCCCTCTGTGTGTCAGTGTCCTGATCTCTTCCTATAAGGACACCAGGCAGAATGGATCAGGAACACCCATATGACCTCATCATATCTTTATCACCTCTTTAAAGACCCTCTCTCCAAATAAGGTTACATTCTGAGGTATATTTCAACCTGTAGATTTGGCATGGGGGTGGGTGGGTGACACAATTTAACCCATAAAACTCACCTACATGATTCATATATAAAAAATCTCAAATGTGGTTCGAAAAAATAAGTCTTATCTCAGTGGGAAATTACAGTGGCTGTTCCTTCTCACCTCAACACAGCCAAGTGTTTGCCAGTGGTCCCTGAGACGCCTGTCCCAAGCACTGTCCCAGGCCCAGCTCCGCGGGGGCTCCCGCTTCTGCGTCAGGCCAGGCCCAGCTTAGGCTCTGCCAGCCCTTGGGTGCCCAGCCTGAGGGGAGCTCCTCCCGCCCTCTCGCCGCCTCCTGTTTTCCATGAGAGCCGAGGAGGGCTCAGGAAAGGTTCCAGTAATTGTGCCATGCGGTTTGTAAAGCATAAATAAATGCCCCAGCTCCCCCCACGTCAGGGGGATGCAAGCAAAACAAGCGAGATGTCCCAGGTGTGCTTTTTCAAGCCCACAGGGGAGGAATTCGGAGATGACCAGGTGGGGTCTGGGCGTGGAGTCTGGGTGGAGGGCAGTTCATTTCCAGGCGTCGTCAGCAGGGGTCAGACTAGGCTTATAAACACCAAGCACCTGCCTGGGGATCTTTATTTTTTGGTTTCTTTTTAGTTCATTGAATGGAAAACTTCCAAATATTGAAAAACTCCCATAGGCCCTTCCGTCTCTGCTGTTCTCCAGCCCACTTCTGCCCAGAGCCCAGTCTTTCCAGAAGCTCATTCTGGAAGCTCCAGAGGGCAGAACTGGACTTCTCTGCACTGCTGCTGAAAGGGGGCCTTGTCAGAACCAGAGGGACAAAGTGTAAGGAAAATGTCGTTTCTTGTACACTTGACCTCAAAATCTGAGACTCAAGCCTATTTCATTGTTCCCTGCAGACCCCCATTAGTAGCCTGGCAAGGAGGTGGCTCCTGTCTGCGCCTTCGGTACCCGGGGGCGTGGGATGCAGAGGGCCACCCCGAGAGGAACGATGCAGATGCTAGTGGACCACCATGAAGAGGTGGCCACGATTTAAATTCCATTTGCTTGATTTGTAAAGTTTTACTCATCATTGTGATTGATAAGTTTGGGGTACGCTGGGGTGTCTGGGGGGAACATGGAGGGAAGACTTCTGCCAGCCCCATGCTTGCTGAAGAAAAGGAAACCATCATGCAGGTGCTCAGAGGGATGCACAGCTGGGGCTGGAGGGCTGCCCCCTGCCCCATCCCAGTGGGCCCGCCCCACGTGGGCCAGTTGGCACCCGTTTGGGGTCACTAGGGTTATGGCCTTGAAGGCTGTTCTGTGGCACAGACCAGGCCTGGGGTGACCTGGGCACACTGCCCTCTGCCCTCTGCCCTCTGCTCTGTGTTGCCTTAAACTTCCTCACGTTTGGAGACAGAAACATGACATCAGGAGGAAAGTAAAACCAGGGACAAAAGCATTTTCTTCCTCTCAGGAGACAGAGTTGGACGAAGAAGCCAGGCAGTGACAGTCGGCCTCCCTCGTCTGACCGCCGCTGGCTGCCCCTCGAGGTTCTGCCCCCCGTCCCTAGCCTACAGGATGAGGCTCCCACCTTGCCAGGGGAGGAGGTGAGCTGGGGCCTCCTTCCCCTGTGTTCCCTGTAAAAGGCCAGTTGCAGGCCAGCCAGTCCCAAACCGCGCCAGCGAAACAGTGTTGGAACCGGAGCAGGGTGGGACGGAAGAAAGGCTGTCGGGCCTTCCTGAGCGTGGTGGGATTTCATTCCAGGCACCAGATGCATCGGCTGTGGGGGCAGGTGTGACCTGCCGGGGGCTGGGGAGATGCCCATTGACCACCTGGAGCAGCTTAGGTCAGAGGCACCCCTGGAGCCACACCATCGTGGCAGCGTTCACTGTGTGGCCGGGTCCTCTCTGCTAGGGCAGGACCTTCCTCCCACCCCCCATTGGCAAAGCCAACCAGCCACCTGATCAAAAGGAAGAAAAGGAGATGCTGAAGCGACCTGCTCAGGGTCAACCCCCCGCTGGGCCCCTGCGGAGGCAGCTGGATGCGTGGCTGCGGAGTGGCCCCCAAGACACCCACCTCCTGTCCCCAGACCCATGTTCCCTCCCACCGCCAAGGGGAATTCGCCACTTGGCTTAAGCTAAGGATCTTGAGAAAGGGAGACTGCCCTGGTCATCAGTGGCCTGGTGTCATCATGGGTCCACACAACAGTCAGGCAGGAGGGTCAGAGGCAGAAGGCAGGGCAGAGGGATGGAGAGAAATTTGAATGGCACAGCTGCTTGTAAGAAGGAGGAAGGTGCTGGAGAGGGCAGGAAAAGGGTGCTTCCCCCAGAGCCTGTGGAGGAATGGTGCCTGCTCGCCCATCTTCTGACCAGAACTGCAACCAGACCGATCTGTGTTTCAACACCTGTGCTGCCCCTGGTTAGCACTCTGTGGCGGTGATTCGTGACAGCAGAAACAGGACGCTAGCACCAGGGTGTGGACAGCGGTCGGCGGGCTCCTGGTTTGTCTTGTACGTGGGTTCCTGCTCCATTTTATTGCATATTGTGCCTCCGCCAGCCTGTGTGGACATGGCCATAGTGACTGAAGTAGAACGCAGAAAGCTAATTACACAAAACAAAGTGGATTGCCTTCAGTGTGGACAGCCTTTCAGTGGGGATGAGTCTTTAATTCCAGGGAACCAGTCACAGTTGTTGATTTCACTCCAGGTCACATGGTACACACAGCCCAGGTCCTGGCTCACAGGATAACCAATCTGCAGGTGGCAATTACAAAGGTGGAGGCAGTTGGCATGCATCCTGGAATCTTAAGGAGTGTTTTGTGCCTCTTAAGGTCATATCCGGCCAGATCAAGACACCTTCAAATGCCGGTATCTCACAGCCCTTGCAGTGTTAAGTTGTGCAAAACACAGAGGTGGCTCTTAGCTGCCCAGGACCCAGTTCCTCCAGTTAAATGCTGAGTTTGAGCCGTGGGTCAACGTCTTCACGGGAGGGTTCAACAGCTCCCATTTTCCTTCCTCTTTATTTTCTTCACAGAAACACATACCCAGAGAAGGGATCTAGGACAGAGTTTTCAATCACTTATTAACAGCTTATACTAGGGCAATTGATTTCCCTTGTTCTAACGTCAAATGACAGTCTGGCACTGCTTCTTGAACACACAGCACCCCCACGCTCTGGGGCATGGGAATTGTCTGCACATGGTGTTGGTTGTCATGACCAGGGGTGCTGTTGGCTATATGGGTGTAGTGGCCCGGGGTCCTGCTAACGCCCTACAATGCAAAGGGTGGCCCCTCCATGAGCACAGTCCTGCTGAGGCTGAGACCCCCATCTATGCTGCCACTTGAAAAGGGGCTTACAGCACCCAATTTAGCATCACCCAAAGATCCAGAAAAAATCTACAAAATCAAACTCTAATCTCAATCCCCCTGTTGATAAAACGAACATGTTGGCATAGATACGTGTTTTTAAGATTTTCTTTGTACATTTTGCTTTCCTTTTCTCCCTCTTTTTTAAATGTCTAGAAGTCCCTTTGTTAGATGAAATTTGCCAAAATTCTAACATACAGGGGGATCCGAGTGGAGGCTGATGGTGCCTCGGGGCAATTCCCTCCTCCTGCTTAGAGAGGGGCTGCGGGACAGGGGCGAGCCCGGGGTCGGGAACCCTCTGCTTCCTCTGCCTCTGATTTGCAGGCCCATCGTTTGGCAGAGCCCTCTGATGAATTTCTGCTTTCCCCAGACAAGGACCGCTTATCTGGGGACAGGGTGGGGTGGAAAGTGAACTGTCAGGATAAGAAAGTCATAGGACTTTGGAAGTTCAAAGCTGGCATCTTGAGAGAGGGAGGCCAAGGGTCAGGGGAATGGTAGGAATTTGGCTACAAAGTCAAGTGGGTTTTTGGAACAGTGTCAAGGCGCAATCCTGCCAGCAGCTGGCATGTGTAGGGCTGCCATCCATATGGATGACACAGCTCCCAGGAGAGCCCAGGGAGCGGTGCAGGGACAGGAGCAGGCAGCATGGGAGCATGCAGCTGGGAGACAGTGACATTTGCAGGAGCAAGAGCAACACTTAGGGAGCAGGGGGTGCTGGGCTGAGCAGGAGAACACCCCAGGAAAATCCACGTGAATATCTCCCAGCATGGCCTTGGTGGGTGGTGGGGCTGGGCCGTGTGTTTGGACAATGTCGGTCAGGTGCTTGCACAGCCCTGGCCACTACCGGGCACTCTGGCAACTGCAACAAGCTGCTGTGTGTTCCGTGGCTGGCTGACTCCAAAAGCAAGAGGGGAAGCTCCTTCCCACCCACCAGCCACCCCCGGTGACCCCGGAGCTGGCCAGTCCAGCAACGGTCTCTTCTCCCCATATCCAAATGGCTTACTCCTTGCTGGGCCACCTGTCCAGCCCCTGGAGTTGCAAGGAATTACCATGTGAGCTGACTTTGCAAAAAGGCTGGCGTCCTAGTTTTATATCATCTTGGAAACAAGTAGCCAAAGCTGCCCTAATGACGATAAGGATGGCAAACCTCTCCTGTCGGCCCCTGCCCAAGCCTGCCCTTTGCAGAAAGGCAGGTGGGCCCATCTCAGGGAGTAGGCGGGCCCCTGGTGCCCTGGGTTGGCCACATACTTGTTTTCGCTCTCCGAAGGGAGCATCAGGACCTGCAGGCAGCCTGTCTCTGTGTCCCAAAGAAAAATGGGGGCATGTACCTTTCTCACTAGCTGGGCAAGGTCCCTGCAGTCCTGAGGTGGCAGTCTGAGGAGCGGGCGCGTGCAGGAGTCCAGTGTTGAGCCATGGCCCACGATCAGGATGACGCCCACTGAAGGAAACAGAGCACTTCGAGGTCAGAGCAGGAACAGAAAGCGCCTTTTATTGGGTCCCTCACCAAAGTTGCCAGGTGGAGCCATCTGCAGTGCCCTGAAGCCTTGAGACCCCCAGGTAGGAGGTAGGTGTGGTTGGCAGCCGCTTTGTACCACCTAAGGTTCTGCCTGTGCGTATGTCTCTTCAGGGGACAGTGCATCCTCCCACAGGGCCTAGGAGGGCAGCACCCTCCTGCGAGCTTGGGGACCGAGCCACCTTCTGTGGGATGAGTTACTGGCTGCTGCCCAGGCCTCATCCATCAGCTTGGGATTTGTTGGCCAGCGGATCACCGGGAGCCTACTGATGGCTCTCGCTCTAGAGAAGATGTCTTTAGACAGGGACACCCAGAGTCCACAGACTGAGTGAGTCTCCCTTGGGTGACATGCCTGACGTGGGGGGCCAAGGCCAGGACAGAGCCAAGCTGGACCGTTAGTGGTAGCGAGTCAGCCCAGAGGGGGGGGAGCAGCGTGGAGGGCCAGCCCACGCACACTCACCTGCTCCTGTCGCCCCAGGCGCCCCTGTGCCTTCCCATGTGACCTGAGCCCCCATCTACTTTCCCGTATTATTTCCTATTAGTTTCATACTTATGCTCTTGGCCTCCAAAACCATGGTGTGGTTGCCAGGACGCTGGGAGATGACAGGCGGGTTTGCCTGTACCCTCCAGCTGGGTGACTTGGCATGGAGCCCTCTCAGTCCCGCTGAGCTGCAAAGTCCCTGGGTGCATGTGGAGTTTGTGTTTCAGGGAGGTGACGGGGTGACAGCTGACATCTGTGAAGGCCTCTCTGAGCCGTCTCCATGGGGTTAGCTTTGACCTTCCAGCTGGGTTTTCACTGGCTGCCTCCCACACCTCCCCCTGCTGCCATGCTCCTGGGCGCCCTCTGCCTTCCTCATCCTGAGTGGCTCAGCCCCACCCCAGGGCTGTAAGTGCCCCCAGCCACACCCCAGCCACGGACGGGCAAGTGGGCTTCCCTGCACTCAGTAGATGCCCATGGTAAAGTGACAGGTCTGCATCTGAGCTCCAGGAGGCTGCGGGCCTGAACGGAGGGCCTGCAGGAGGCTGGAGGAGCGACATAGGGTGGACAGCCCTGGGCCAGCCGGGGGAACCCCGGCTGTGCAGCGCGAAGCTCTGATTTGGTGTTCTGTCCTCTGATGTCCCAGGGCAGTACTTTGAGTGACAGTTTGATAACTAATCAAAGCCACTAGGGTGTGGTTTCCAAAAGCACATTCCCCAGGGTGCTTAGCCAAGATAGGCCGTGTGAACCAGCCTCATAGCCAGGCATGTTTGGGGGTGCTTGGTAGGCAAGGTTTGGGGTCTCTTCCTACAGGAGGTCTTGAGTATGTCCCTCTGGTGCCCTGGGGCCCCTCCAGGAGGCCAGGTGCTAAGCTCTTCCCTGACTTCCCCACAGGAGAGTCCTCTGGCCCCAGGCCTCTCCAGGTCGAGGGGAGGAAAGAGCACAGGTGGGGTCCGGGGACTCTGAGACTCTTCTTCATGACTCAGTATTCCTGATATCCCACATGCCCATGGCCCTCTTCTCCAGGGAACTTGCACTCCTGGTGGGTGGAGCATGTGCCTTCTTCGCTGAGATTTCCCCGTCAAGGTTTACGTGGTGCCTGACACATGGCTGAGGTTCAGCACACACATCTTTATAGGATTAATTTTTAACTTTTTACTGCAGACATTTAAAAATACACAGCAAAATGCCTGGCACAGAGCTCTGGCAGCTGTCTGCCCACCTGGTGCCATCTGTCCTCTACCCCACCTCTCCCTCCCCACGAGATATGAAGCATCTCCTGAACTTCACGCCTGGTCACAGAACATGCCTCCTTTCCCATCTCTTAAGGAGGACTTTCACTCCCACATAACCATGAGGCCGTTATTACAACTCACAGGATCATAAAGCTTCTTAAATATTTCCGTATTCAGATCCTATATTTAAATTCTATGTTCAGATTTCTCAAATGGTCTCAGCCATCAACTTGTATGCATGTTTTGTGTACATTGTCATCCAACTATGACTCGACATTTGGTTGTTAGAATCTTAGTCTCTTTTGATTCCTAGGAAGCAGACATGGGTGGTTTGTGGTGGCCCTGCCCTCCTGGGACCCACAACTCTCAGTCTCAGAACTGCGGTCCCCAGGGCTGGGCATGAGGGAGCATGTGTCTGTGCGTCCCTTACTGCAGAGGCAACCATTCACACTCTGTTGGCTGGGGAGTAGGGGCAGGGGAGGTTGGGGCATTAGTAGGCTAAAAAAATTGGCCTGTTTCCATCCCAGAGGTAAGACCCCACCCCAGGGGGCTGCTCATACCCAAGCACGTGGGGGCACTTACGGTCCTGTGGGCAGGTGCTGACCATCCTGATGGCGCTCACGGCACACCTGTCCACATACGCCTCGTAGTTCTCGGCTGGCATGAGGGAGGCCAGGGGGACCGCAGGCCTAGAGGAGGAGAGGGCAATGGCTGCCAGCTGGCCTGCTCACGTGGGCTCAGCGGGGGGAGAGTCCCCCAAGGCGGCTCTGCCTCAAGGCAGGGCTCATGGCTAATGAGGCGGCAGTTTTCTGCTTAACTGGTGCAGGGCTGATGTTCAGCCCTTCTTACCGACCACCAGAAGTCAGCGTAGGAAGAGGATGGCAAAGACACGCCTCAGCCAAGCTCCAGCCTCCTCTGAGCCCCCTGTGCTCAAAAGGCTGACCTTTGGGCTTCAGTGTCCGACCCCGTGGAGTCAGTTGTAGCAAGAATCCTGCCAATGCAGTTTGGCCAGAACCCCCAACCCCTGCATCTGATTCCCCTCAGTGTTTGAGCAAACACTGTATTCACCCCACCACCCCAGGTGATGCCAGATCACCTGCCGCAGCAAGGATCCCACTGGGTCAGTTCAGCAAGAAGTCCCCTACCCTCCTAGTAATTTTCCATCTGTCAACCCCCAACCCTGCCCCTTGTCTAAACCCCCCCCCTTGTTTTTATTACACTCAGAGCACCATCTCTCTCCCCTCTATTGGAGGTTATGAATATCTTTTCCTGAACAAGAACTGGAAGCACCCAGAAGCAGACAGGGTGAGGACGGCATGCCTGTAGTCGGTGCTGACATGGAAATCCGCCTCGTTCAGCTCCTCTGGGGTCAGGAGGTTTGGGATGCTTTTGCTGGCCTCCCACCTTGTCCATTCAAAGATGCCAGGTTCCACTCTTATCTTAACTTTTTTCTCCAGTTTGAGCTCTGCATTCAACAGAATACAAGAGTTTATCACCTTCAGTGTCCTTTTGGGCTGTACATAAATAAGTCTCTTCCTAGGTCTAAATTATACCTTTCAAAAAACATGTCTTTTTTTCTCTTGGCAAATATCATTCCATAGCCATATAATATCTGAGACAAAGCCCACCAGATACTAGAAGTCTGGAAGTGATGAGCCCCGTCCACCAGGAGGGGACAGTCCACCAGGAGCTGAGAGGTGTCACCGGCAGCAGGTGTGCCCTGGGGCTCCCCCTGATCACCCACAACAGTTCCACAGCCAGAGCAACACTGGGGCCTCGTCTCGGTCAAGATGCAAGCACACCCACAGGAAACTGGCCGGCCCAGTGGTGCAAGGAAAAGACGAGGTCGGTCACAGGGCACGGCAGTCACCATGGACACCAACCTGAGAAACACACCTGACTGAGCAGAAGGTGAAGGGCGGAAGGGAGCCAGCTTCTGGAATGTTCTGACTTCCCCCACCTCCCTCTTCCCAAGCATTTTAAACCTTAACTGAAAGAAGACCTGTGAAGTAAGCTCTTTTGGAATGGGGACAGGGTGGGGAGGCCTTAATGGTTTTATTTGAAATGGAGAAAATATCGTTCAACTCAAATGATGAAAATAAAACCTGTTCCTAAGTGTATTCCCAGCCAAGGAATGGGTTCCTTTGTTAAGCATGCTCAGGCTGACCAGCTCCTGAGTTCTCCCCACCCACGAAGGGCCTGTGTCCACTGCAAGCAGATCCCATGGACGAGCAGTGGGAGAGTCCCTGGTGGAGCCGGCCCCTCTTTGCAGGACGTCCTGTCACCACTGCTCTGTGGGTCACACTCTGGGACATGGTCCATCTGGATAGTCACCGACATGGTACTGAATAAAGCTTAGCATGTTGGCATCTCGGATGTCAGTCTGAACAGCAGGCTGGTCATGGCCAAAGGACCAATGTGACGAAGGCTGCCTGTGCTAGTTTTTCCGAATTAACATGGGATTTATAAGCGTGTGTCCCTTCACAGGCATAATAATTAATAATAATAACAGCAATGATATTCTGCCTATAAAGTAAAAGTTGATGACATCATGTTAAAGACATTTGACATTATCCTTGTCAAAAAACATTTTTGACAGCTTTTTATTTTATATGCAGGAGATCGGAATAATAGAAGTCAGATAAATTTCACAAAAAACTCTGGGACAAATATGTTAATAAGGAGGAGCTATGATGATGACAAAAAGGAATAAATCATAAAAGATGGTTTTCAAGCTTTGAGTCATACTCTCTTTTAGGAAGGCTGGCCAAAAGAATATTCTGTATCTTCTCATTCATTTGTTGTTGCTATGGTGAGAGGGTGGGCAGGGACGGGGGGCTTCAGGTCACCACTAGAAAAGGACTTATAACCCTGGGGGGCAATCACTGTTAGCAGTGTTCATGTGCCGGCCTGGCTGCACACCAGCCATCTGGGGGCTTCACACCTGCTTTAAGTGGACGGACAGCCAGAGATGGAAATCAGATGGTTTCGAAGGCTGGAGGAAGCCAGCAGTCTCTCGGGTGGGTTGGAATGAAGTCAGCTCCTTAAATGGCAGGTAGACAAGGTGGGGGCCAGGGAGAGGGGCAGTTCAGGGACAAGTCTGTCCCCTTTTACCATGTATTTATGTTTCCTGCTCTGCTCGCCTCTGCTTGTTATAGTTGTTGGATTAATTACATCGATCCTGCACAGCACAGGCATAAAATTCCTTCATCTCTACTTTGCTTTTTCCCATCATATTTATTAAGAGTAACCCCCGAACTGAAAAGCTTACAAGTACAGCCAAGAAGGGACTCCCAGCTGCTAGGAGAGCCTCGCCTGCATCCTCACTGGCCTCTGGCAAAGGCAGCACTGGGGGACCACTTCTCATTTCCTGCTCCTTCCTGAGCGGAGGGGGGCAAGGCCGGCAGACATCTAGGAAACGGGCAGACCTGGGAGTCTGGCATGGCAGGGACCGTCTCTGGGGAGGGGGTCCCTGCTCTGAAAAATCGGCCAGGTATAGCCTCCTCTTCCTTGTCTCTGTCGCCCCAACACCAGTGCCTATGATCGCAGCTGAAGGGAATCCCAAGGTGCGCGTGGGACCGGGTGTGTACGCTGGCAGGGAGGGGCCAAGTTATGTTCGGGGCCCTGTTTTAGCCTCACGGTCAGGCTGTACCTCCAATATGTCGCACTGGAGGTCACTCATTGGGGATTGTTGGGTCCTCACCTGGACTTTTAGGCAGCTGACATGGTTCTTTAACCTAAACAAGGCTTAGCTAGTCGGAGGAGCAATGTAGTTAGCCTGGGAGCCTCCAACGCCAGGGGAGACATCCGCAGTTCTGCCCCAGTGACCCAAAATACGTGCAGGGCGTTGGGGTCCCTGTCTGGCTTGGGGAGAGCTGGCGAGTGAGGGGTGGCTCCGCGGCTGACACACAGAGACTGCCTCCAAGTTCCCCAGGTGGACCGGGGGCTGTGGACACCCCTTGCTGATAAAACAGAGGCTGCTGCAGCGTGGGAGGCCCAGGAGGGCAGAGCAGGGGAGGACCGCTCCGGAGCCTGTGTGGCCCTGTGCGCGGGTCAGGCACCTGGCCAGAGCTTTTCTGATATGGGTGCGGAAGGCAGAGGGTGGGGAGCCGGTGGGGGTGTGCATGCCTGCTGGGGCGCCGTTTCCAGCCCCCCTGTGAGGGTCCGGGCCCCGCGCTGCCTTCTCTCTGACATCCCTCCAGGCGCAGCACCGGGGGCCGGGACATCTCGCCAGCAGCAGCCGCCCTGCGCTTGTTCCCCGCCTGCAGCGATGCGCCTCACCCGCCTGAGTAGCAGCTCCCTCTCCTCGACCTTGTCGTGCAGCCCCTCTGCGAGCTTCTTCAAACTCCCCTGGCCCCAAGGCCCCCCTTCCTTGCAGCCCACTCTCGTGCTCTGCCTCCCACCGCCCATGCGACCTCCAGATTCTGACCCCACCAAGCTGCCCCTTCCTCTACCGCTTGCTTCTCCCAGGCTCTGACTCACCACCTGAACCAGCTTAGAATCTGTAGCCACCCCAGTCACCCCCCGTGCTTGCACTCAGCCCTCTTGGCCCCGGGACTCACTTCCCAAACCCTCCCCGTCGTCAGATCCAGTTCTCCCCTGCTGCTCCATGTCTGCCCTGGAAGAAGGCCCCCAGTCCAGCTGGTGGGGCTCAGTGTAAAGCTGCACCACTGACCTCGGTGGGCCCTTTGTGCTGCCCAGGGGCCACCCACTGTTCCTTACCCATGCATGCCAGACCTTCAGAGGCCCAACCTCCAGCAGTCCTCCACTTTCTCCCTTTCAGCTGGTGACCTCACCCCCTGTCCCTGAGAGAGGAGAGGCAGGCCCCTTCCCTGCACCGGCAAGCCTGTTGCTTCTGTGTCATGCACTCCACCCTCTGTGCCATCACCGGGGCACCGGCCCACGTTCCTGCACTATGAGAGACCTCGAGGCCCCTCTGGCCCATTCTGGGAGGGCAGGGCAGAGGTCTGCAGTGGGCAGCAGGACTGAGCCCTCCAGGAGGAGGCTGCCCTCCTGGGCAGGAACCCTCTGGCAGGTCTGCCGTGGCTCCCAACACACACTGGCCTGTGGTGGTGCCGGACAGCTCACAGCAGCCGGCCCCTCTCCTTGGAAGAGTCATGGATTTTGGATTTAGGAGGGACCACACTAGTCCCCGGGTCTCTGGGTTTCTGAATGTACCCCCCCAGTTGGTGTTTTGTAAAAGCACATGGCAGAAGCAGGCTGAAGGTGGACAGTGTGAGGACAGGCCAGGCCCCTGGCACTCAGTGACAATCCTGGCATTCCAGAAATGTCAGCGGGCTCGATGCCGGCTTCCAGCTCTCAGGCGGCCTTTGTGGCCACTCATCCAGTTCTCACCATGCTCACTCCCCTCCAGGCTCAAGGATGCCCGTGAAACCCAGGCAATGAGAGCCGCTCACTGCGGTCCACACTGACCTTCCAGGATGTGTTTGGCTGTCTGCACACAGCGGAGGGCCGGGGAGGTGAAGACGGAGGTGATGCTGACACCACTGTCCAGTAGTGCTTCTCCTGGAAAACAGCGGGTGGAAAACGCCTCTGCACACCTGGCCTCCCACGGGGCAGCTCGCCACCTGAGCTAGGCAGGACCTCAAGTGGCCCGAAGGCTTCCACTCCCTGGTGGACATGCCGTGCATGATCCCTGAGTGTGGGTGGAAGCTACAAATATGAGAAGTCCTGTGACTGTGTTATGTTATATGACCGAAGGGAGATTACTGTGATGGGCCTGACCTATTCAGGTGAGTATAGGAACAGCAGAGATTCTTCTCTGGCTGTCAGAGAAATTCAGTGGTAGCAGGATTCATCATACAAGTTCTCTATTGGTGGTTTTAAAGAGGGAGGGAGCCACGTGACAAGGACTGTGGGTGGTGAGAGCAGCCCTTTGTGGACAGCTGTAAGGGCGTGAGGACTTCAGTCCTACAGCTGTGAGGAACTGAGTATTCCCACAGCCTCTGGGGAGAAATCGGAGCTGCTTCCAAGGGGCTCCAGCAGGGAACTCAGCTTAGGTGACCTTGGTTTCGGCTTTGAGACCCCATCCAGAGAACCCAGCTGTGCTGTGCCTTGGTTTCTGACCTACAGAACAGCGAGCCAACAAGTGTGTGGTTCGTGGTAAAGTGGGTGTTCCATGGTGATTTATTCTGCAGTGGTGGGAGGCTCAAGGCTCCCTGGGGCTCATGGATGAACAGGCTTGTAAACCACATTTCCTCTTGCAAAATTAGGGGACCTGGTCTTTGGGAAAGGAGGGCATCTCTTCAATGCACACTTCACAAAGGACCAAAGCCAGTGAGGTTTTAGCAGATGCAGTCATGGGCTGAACTGTGCCTCAAATTCACGTGCTGGAGTTCTAACCCCCAGAACCTCAGAGTGATGACCATCCCTGGACATAGGGTCTGGTCTTACAGTGATCGAGTTAAGATGGGGTTATTAGGTCGCTCTAATCCTATCTGACTGGTGTCCTATTAAAAGGGGAAATCTAGACACAGGCAGTATCTAGAGGGAGATGATGCGAAGATGCAGGGAGGGGATGGCACCTCCAAGCCGGGGAGAGTGCCTGGGACGGAGTCTCCCTCACGCGCTCACAGGGAATCAACCCCGCCCACATATCCCCCTCAGCTTCCAGCTTCCAGACTGTGAGGGAATTCAGTTTGGTGTGGTGCTTCGTCACGGCAGCCCCAAGAAATGGATACCGAGGCCAACCACTGCCCACACAGATACCCAGTCATGATGCTCCCAAACACACACACAGGTTGTGCAAACAGAGCTCCAAAGGTATGTTAAAGAAGGGGCACACGTACCACACCCACAGTGTGCACATGCACAGACCATGCTGTGCGGTGGAGGAGGCATCTGGCGGGGCCCTGTGCAGGGGGCTGCACTGACACCACCCGTTGCTCAGTGACCTCACATCAGTAGCTTGAAGCCAGACGTGTTGGGAGCACAGTATTTACACCACTGCAATCAGCAAATGCTACCAGTCGGGGCCTCCGCACCCTGCCCAGAGAGCTGGTGACCATTCACCAGCTCACCTGTGGACGAGGGGCCAGGGTGCCGGGTTTTAGTGAGTTCCTTCAATGAGCAGCAGTAAGGCTCACGAAGCCCGTGAATTTCCTGATTTCTGATTCAAGTTTCCTAATTCTAAAACAAAGACCAGATGAACTCAATGGCTTCTGCTGTTCCACAAAGTCAATCATGTGGATCCGGAACCCCAGACATAAAGCAAAAGCCCACGTGACATATTGTGAAATAGAATCAAAGAGATGTGTGCTTTACATTTTTAAATGACATCCTTAGTGCACACAGAGGTCAGCGATGTTTTCTCCCCTCTCTGATTCTTCCCATGCCTCTTTCATCCCTGACTCCCCCAGCCATCCACTCACGGGTCAAATCTCTGCACTTTTACTTCAGAGCTGTGTGACCTTGGGCAACTTACCTAACTGCTCTGTGTGTCGGCTTCCCCATCAGCAGAGAGCAGATAACGCTAATACTGACACCAGTGAGCACATAGCCAGGGTTCAGTATACAATAACGAAGATTGTTGCTGTGACTTGTTACTGGAATGGCCCCCAGACATACCTGCCATTCTGGACTGGAAAATTCCACAAGATGATAATGGTGGATCATTTTCAAAATCTTTGAAACCACTCCTCCGCCTGGGCAGACTGCAAGGGAAGTTCAGGTCTGGCCGGTAGTACTTCCCTAAAGCATAAATATGCAACAGACATTCAGTTCCATCAGGTGAGTGCATATCTGCCCATAGAACTCTGGACCGGGACCCACATCAGGTCACGGGGTGGCTGTCAGCCGTGTTTTCTGGAATGTGCTCTGGGATGCAGATTCAGGCGGAGAAGAAAGCACTGCTTTGGTTTGCACACATTCCCTTAAATACTGAAAATGATGGTTTCAGGCCCAGGAGCCCCGACACCCCCTTTGTCCTCTCCTGGTCCTCACGGAGATTCACACAGACACAAGTTTCCTGTTAAAGAACGTAGTGTCTCCATTACTAATTTAGCTGAACTTGACAGGTATTAATTAATTAGGTGAAAGTAGACCCATTCCAGAGCTGTCAGTGTGTCATCCTGTCTCCAGGGATGGAAAATCTGTGGCTGGGTCTCCTGCACTGTGCGTGATTCAGTCAATAGGCCTGAGGCTGGTCTGGAAACTAGGGGGATTCACGGACACCCCTCGGCCAATTCAGAGGCTATAAAGCACTGTGGTTCACTTGAGTTTGACCTTGCACTTCAAGGTCTCACAGTCTGGTGAGGAGCCCAGCACCTCCCATTACTAGTTGTGGGTTAGAGGCAATTGACTGCCTGATCAGTGACGGGGGGGAGGACAGAGCCGCTGGGAGGAAGCAGCGACATGCCGCTGAGAACCCGGAGCCTGGCTCAGCGAGCGGTCAGCACGCGGCGGGACCGGCCTCATCAGCCAACCGTCGGTCACCCCTACAGAGGACAGTGCACCACACCAAGCCCTGCCACCCTCCCAAGAGGCCCCTGAATACCCTGACTGCCAACAGGTTCTAGCAGCCAAACTGCCTTTCCTGAGACCTGCTGTTCATCACACGCAGGCCCTGTCACTTGGGCCACCTCAGTTTGCCACAGCAGCCCTCCTCCCAGCCTTCTAGCCCCCCACAAATGCAGATGTTTCATGCATGAGTTTTCTGAGGGCTTCCTCCCTGGAATATCCATTGGCAGAGACTTTGAACCGTCAGCTTTAAAGGCCTTTATGTATAAACTGGGAAAGGTGGTATATTTTTTTTCCAAAGAGAAGGCCCATCAGTTATGTTATATTCTCTAAGGCATCTGGGATCCAAAATGAGTGAACCTGCTGCCTTTAGGTCTTTTGCCCTCTCTGACACTTAATTGGAGCTCAGAAGATGATGAGGGTACAGGGTGAGGCTAGGCCTGAGTGGGAGTAGACTGTGGGCCAGCACCCCGGGGGGTGAGGGGCCATTTGAGGGTGTGGGTGCTTGGTCTAGAAGTGAGCAGAAGTGAGGAAGAAGCCTGGAATCAGAACAGACCAGCAGTGCCCCCCAAACACCCCTTTGTAATTGATCAAACAGCGCAATATGCAAAATTCAGACAAACTAGACTGTCAGAATTCACTTTATCAAGGGTGTCTTTGCCTTGGAAAAAGATCCACTAGGATCATAATACGTGATCAAAACCAAAAGTTTCTGTGTGACTGCCCTTGTACTGTTCACCATGTAAGAACTTATTCACTATGTAAGAACTTGTTCGTTATGCTTCAGAAGATTGGAGACTGACGAGAATTAGGCTTGGGGTGGATTAATGATTGTGCATTGAGCATTGAGTCCCCTATACAGAATTTTATTGTTGTTAACAACTATTTGATCAATAAGTATGAGAGATGCCCTCTCAAAAAAAAAAAAACAACAACAACAGCAACAAAAAAGATCCACTAGGAGTTTCCTTCAGGTTGGGAATTTCCAGTGACTTTAAAGCATTTTCCCATATAGGCGTCCTGATCTTCAGTTTCGATAACAAATTTTCTTTCTCTTTCCACAAAATTCAGTAACTTTTTGGTATGTGTTGTCTCTTGTATGGGTTCTCACACCACCAGCACTACTCAACGTGTAGTGTGCCATTTCCATCTGTAGTTTCAATAACTGTTTAATTATAAGAAATTTTCTTGTAATTGTATGTTTGAACATCAATGCATCCTCATATGCGACTACTGTCCTATTGTTTCTCTCCTGAGCATTGTGTCTCTACCTGATTGCATTTTGTGTGGCCACAGCATTGCTTCTGTGCACTCTTGGGGATTTGTTTGGTCATGATATACTCCGTTCAGAACTTTTCTGATGTGTGCTGGTCATCTGCCAATGGTTTTCCCTGTTCACTTCCCCCCTTCCTTGGCCTGCTGAGCACCCAGAAGGATTCTAGAAGGGCTCAGCTAGCCCAGCTACTATGAATGGACTTTATCACTATGTTCACTCAATATGCTCATTTATCCATGACTTAGAAGTCACGGTGTGATGGGTTTTCCATAGGGAATGTGCACAGATGCAGACATGGGTCATCAGGACAGAGCCTACAGTGTTTACAAGCACCGTCCTTCATTCTTGGCATCCAAAGGGGTAAACTGGGGGTAAGCAAGACACATGTGCAAAATATGTCCTCCAGCTGAGTAGCTTAGTCAAGCATTGTAGGGAAACAACCACAGCAGTAAAGATTAGCTCAGAGAGAGAGTGATGAAATCATGAGATAGGGAGTGTGTGCCAGCAGCTGAGGGCAGATGCAGAGTGACGAGCTGTCAATGCTATACTCACCGTCCAAATGCCAAATGCTTGCCCCAGAATAAACAGGACTGACCTTATGTCATACCAGCTTACTACTTACAATTATTCCTCCATCTTCCATGAAGCATCACTCAAATGTGCACATATAAAGCCTAAGAGAATGATGTAGCTAGCTGTGTGCATCCCCTGTGTACAACTCACGTGCTGTCTTCCTGAACAACAGTGCCCTAGGGAGCCTGGGTGGGGAAATTAAGGTGGGATCTCCTTGGTCGATCTGCCTGTCTGGTGTGTAGAGTCTGTTGGGGCTTCACCTACCATCAGGAGTGAGACACTGCTGCAGCCAGGACTTCCCGAAGACCTGGTCCACCCGCTCCCCGTGGCGCACCACCAAGACACTCCTCCTCGCTATAGAAGCCTGAGACAGTGGAAGGGAAGGAACATGCAATTTAACACGCACACGGTTAGATCTGGGCAAACAGCATCTCTCTTAGGCCTCCAACACCTGGCCTAGCATCCCTCCGTAGTGAATCCTTCGAACATTATCCACGTCTGTACATACAAACTGTAATATAATTGATAGTACGTATTATCTATATATGCAGATAACTGCCATCAGCGTCCCTGTGGCCCAGTACATTGAGAGCATGTGTGCCAGATACTGGGGAATAAGCTACAGTCCATGGATTCTCCCTTAGGGGCATCAGGTCCCACTGAGACCAAGGGACAAACATGAGAAGATGAATTACAGAAGGAAGAGGATGGCAGAGCTGACAGTGGCTTGGGGGACTTAATGGGAGACACATGCAATGCCTTCAGAGCACCACACCCCGGAGAAGGGACTCATCTGCAACACAGCCGTGCAGCTGACCATTCACTCTCAGGTCTGCGTCTGCCATGCCGGTGGAGCCTAGAGGGTCTGTGCTGACTACCCGCTTCCTCTAGCACTTCTTCAGTTTATCAGCAGGACCAAGCGGCCTCCCCACTGGTGGGGAAATGGTTTGGTTAGGGGCTGTTGAGAAGGAGGGGACACTGGGGAAAGTAGGGCGGGGGGTAAATGTCACCCATCTCACATGTGTTCTTGGAGCCAGCATTGTGGCAGCTCCTGCCAGACCCTCGCAGTCCCCAGGAAGGGTGGGCAATGCAGAATCCCCAGCTGCTTAAGGCAGTGGGCTGTGCTTGCTGGGTCTCTGGTGGGCATATGAAATGTGGTATTTGGAGCCAAAGGAACGCTCGAAGTCTCTGTATGTAACGTACAGTGTCTCAGGGCCTTAGGGCTGAGTCTGCTGACCTCCAGGCTACTGAGCACAAGACTCCTTATGTCTCCTGGCCCTGACTTGAAAGATCAGAAGCTCCATCTTTTGGGGCCTGGGGAGGTGACCTCTTTGGAATCACACAGTTTGCTGATGCAACAGCTGGGTGGGATCTCAGGATGTGGGGCAAGGCTGTGTCCTTGTTTCTTCCTTGTCCCATGTCTCAGCGCCACGACTGCCTAAACTTTGAACATGTGGTGCAAGTTCTTGCAGACCTTTGGCAGGCTGCCCCTGGGAGCCCAGCTCACAGCAGAGGGGCTTCAGCCCTGTCCTGGGGTGGGCAGAGCAGTGTGGCCTCAGCACCAGAGGGCATGGCACCCATGTTTGACAGACCAAAGCAGCACCTGAGAGGCTGGGTTCACCATGGAGTCAATACAGATTGTGGTCTCACCCCGCTCACTTTACAAAGAAGGATTCTCTGTCACCTGCAAGGCCTGCATGTTGTTCATGCCCCCAGGTGTTTGTGGGGGAGGCAGCTCCCCATTCTGCCTGTTGCTGGCTTCACTGTCCTTCCTGGAGTTCAGGTCCATGGCCAGGCTGAAGGTGTACGTCCTGTGGGGGAAGAAAAGGGATACCGGTATCATGAAGACTCAGAAGTGTCTGGTCATGCCTGTGCCTGAGATGAGCACATGCCCCACCAGGCAGGTAAGGTCACTGGGAGGAGGAAACCCAGTGGCATCAGGGCTTAGCATGACTCATTCCTGAGTAAACCTGGCGGTTTCTCATCACTGCCACTGTCTGTCAGGGGCTGATGGACGGCCACCAAGCCTCCGTCCTGAGACCTCAGGAGGTCGGCGCCAGGAGCTTCTTGCCAGCCTCTGTCTTGTGTCCCAGCCATCCGCAGCCTCAGGCCACCTGTCTTTCACAGCCACAGCCACACACCCCAGACCATTCATTCCTTGAGTGGTGTTTCGATCTAGTCAGCACTTCTTAAATGTCTGCCAGTCATGCTTTTCCTTTTCATGTTGCCTCTCCTGTCTTGTGCTGTAAATCCCCATTGGCGGGGTCCAGGTCAAATAGGTTTACTTTGTTCATACATTCTTATCCCATCAGATGCCAACATGTATGAAGTGTGGGCTTTAGTTGATCCTAAGCAGACCAAGAACATTGACATCATGCCCAGACCACTGACGCTCCCCTTTTCAGATAAACATGCTGTCCGCAGTGTTCATAGCCTCATATTGACTCAGGAAATGCTAGCTGTTTCTGCTTCCTGCAGGCGAGGTGGGGCACCCGTGCCCTGCCTGTGGCTCATGGTGTAGATAGCAAAGCCTCATTATCTATAAATAACATCTGTGAACTGTACAGTCGGGAAAAAAACTGAATTTTTCTGGTTAGTCTCTCAAATGAAATATAAGTAAGATCATGACGGGAACATGGGGGTGGGAGTGGAAAGGAAGGAACACAGCATTGTAATATTTCTATTTTTCTTTTAAATATAAGTGAACCACTTAATGATTAACTTACAGCCTAGGAACAGATCTGTTTAAATCCTCCCTGACTTTTAAAAGGGGCATAGCTGCCATCTGTGGGGTTCTAAGGACTACATATGTCCCTGAATTAGCTTGCTAGGGCTGCCAGAACAAAATACCCCAGATGGAAACAACAGACCCTGGTGCCTCCCAGTCCTGGAGGCTGGGAGTCCGAGATGCAGGGGCGGGCAGGGCTGGCTCCCCCAAGGCCTCTCTCCTGGGCACGTGGATGCCACTCCCTCCCCATGTCCTCACGGGGTCATGCTTCTGTGCACGTCTGTGTCCTCATCTCCTCTTCTATTGAGGACACTAGTCATCGGATTAGGGTCCCCCCAGTGACCTCATTTTACCTTAATCACCTCTGTAAAGACCCAGCCTCCAACTGCAGTCACATTCTGAGGTGTGGCTTCACCACATGAATTGGGGTAACACAGCTCAGCCCTTAACAGTCACTTTATTGCATCTGAGCTACTTGCTAGCAGTTTGTGGTTCTGGAAAGTTACTGAGCACGTACAGCTTCAGCTTGAGAATCTCATCTCAGCTAGAAGACGACAAAATGTTCTCTAAGTGCTAACATCCTTGGCCTCTCTGCTTTCTGTTCCACCATCAGGCACGTAGGCTCTTCCCTGCAGAGAGCTGAAAACCAGTGACTCTGAGCCCACTGTTACCCCACAATCTCGCTGATCACCTCTGATGCTTTTCTTCAAAGTGAAGGGCAAACACCATAGTGTGATTTTGCCATCGAGTTAATCCAGACCCCCAGGACCATTGGCACAACAGCTGAAGCTGTCATGCTGGTGGTGGGTGACTGACGTTTTAATGGCCAAGTAATGGTCATTGTAGCTGCCAACTTACCCCTAGAACCGTGTCCCCTCTGGCAGGCAGGGGATTCCTCCCAGGCTGCTTGCACATCTCTTCTCAGGCACTGTGAGGCTGGCAGCTCATGTTGCCTGAATTGCATGTGCCCAGAGTGAGCCCTGTGGCTGGCACTGTAGGGGGATTTATCTGCCCACCCACAGCTACACTAGCCTTTGGGCCACATTTCCCACTACTCAACAGATTGGTGATGTGTTGAGCCATTCAAGGACCATTTTCTAATTTAAGAAGAATCAAGTGCTTAATTAGGTACACTTTTGGCAGTTTTAAAGGACTAAGCCAGGACAGCTGAGCCTGCTCCCCTAGCCAGGATGGGGGAGCTTCCAGAACATGGCCAATCATACACCCCACAGCCTGACCTAGTACTTATTTTTCTCCCCCTTTGTTTCAATTTCTGTTACTATTTATTAATTCCTAAGGCAAACTTGTTTCTAAGAATAGTCCCAGACATGTCAAGCTGAAAGGCTGCAATGGTTATGTTGGTGACATTGACCGACAGATTAAGTGTGAAGTAAAAAATGTAGCAGCCACAAACTCATCATCTCCAGAATCTTCATGGCATCATTCTAGAAACATCCAGGCTTGCCAAATGCCTGGTGATCGTGCAGCCTTCCCTTCCTGAGCAGACAGTGGAGAATGTGCTAAAAGGACAGGGATTGTAGGGGAGCCCCAAGCCCCTGGAACTCGATGGTCAGAGTGTAACCAGCACCCCCTCTCCTGCTTTCCTTGAATAGTTTCCTGGGCTGGTGACAGAGTTGGTTCTAAAGAGAAAGAAGCGCTTCCTGACTGTGACATCATCCACCTCTCTGCCCTCTGGGGTTGGGGTCTTCTCAGCGGTCTAGCAGGAGGGGTATATTTGATTACCCCTTGTGGCACCATATCCTGGGGTTCTGTGTGGCCCACAGGACACATGCCATGTCCACGCCTGTGCCTGGGGTGGCTATGATCCTTTTGTAGAAGCTGTGTCCCTTTGCACACTGGGTGTGGGACGCTCGGAGCTGGGGACTCCCAGCTCACACAGTGTTTGCAATCCTCAGCCCTGCGTTTGTCTGACTTCTCTCCCTTTATTCTCTCTTTGACCCAATTTCCTTATGTTCTTCCCTTTAACTTTAACACCGATTAATTTATATTTTGAATAAGTAATGCATTTATATGGTTCAAACATTTAAAAATTATGGAATGGGAGAGAGTGAAATACCTCCTTTCCATTCCTTGTCCCTTCACCCGGCTCCCCCTCTGTGACCACTGTTGGAAGTTTCTGGGGATTTTTTCAGGGAACTTTTAGGCACAGACATGCATATACATACATACATATCATGCATATTATGTGTTATTATGCTTTATGTCATCCCATCCCACGAGCAGTACTTACACATGGCTCTGCAACTTATTTTTTTCATATCAATACATAAGATACTTCCTCATGAACCATTTTTAAAACCTCTAAGTTTCTTTTGTGATGATGTCTCAATCCATTTCACTGACTTATTTTTTAATCTCATTAGCTCTCAGGCAGTTTAGGTCATAGTTGAAAGTGTATGCACACTTTTTCCCATTTTCTAATCAAATACTAATGTAGCTGCTGCTATGAAAAGATTTTGCAGGTGTGACTAATGCCCTAATTACTGACTTTAAGTCAATCAAAAGGCAGATGATCCTGGGTGGGCCTGACTTACTCAGCTAGTTCTTTAAAAACAGCTTAGGGCTTCCCTTAGCTCAGAGAGTGCAAATAGCAGCTGTGTGTGCAACTGCTGTCAGATCTGCCTGGGGGGTCCTCCCCCATGTCACATGTAAGTGACAAGCTCCCCATCACCCATGCTCCCCAGCTTGCTCTGGTCCCCTTCCCTCCTTGCTGGCTCTTGCTTAGCTGGCCCGACACTTGCATGAGGCAATTCCTTTTAATGAATACATATATGGACATGTATACATATGTAGTGTCATATGTTCATATAACAATGATATAAACAACATAACATAAAAATATAAATTATTTATTATATTTTAACATAAGTATTGAGCATAAGTATAAATATTTTATATTTTATATATGTATTTATGTTATATACATATATATGCAAAATAATAATAACTGTCCTGCTTGTCTGGTGAAACTTGCTGATATGAAGCTGGTATCAGGAGTGGGGTGCTACTGTAACAGACACCTCAAGTAGGGGAGCAGCTTTGGACTGAGCAGTGAGTGGAGGCTGGGGGTTCTGAGAATCATGATAAAGTTTAAATGGCCTTGGACAGACGGTTAATAGCTAGATGCTGGTGAGGGACAGAGGGAGTCAGATACATGATAGTAAATGGGAGGAAGGGGGATCCTTGTAGGTAGCAAAGAGTTTAGTGAGATTGTCCTTGGAAAGCAGAACTTGTAAGGGATGAAATTTGTTATATAGCCAAGAATATTTCCAAGCAATGTGTTCAAGGTTTGGATTGGTTTCTTCCTGATGCTTATGGTAAAATGTGAGGAGAGGAATTGGGGGAAGAATTGTTAAACAAAAGGAACCCAATGATTCTGAAAAGCCTTAGCTTCTCCGGATGATGCTGAAGATGATAAAGTGAAGAGGTTGTCCAGCTGAATGTGAAGAAGTGGGCCACCAGGGGGTCCTACAGCTTCAAGGAAATGAATTCTGCCGGCGACCACGAAAGCTTGGGAGCAGACCCCAAGCCTCGGAGCAGACCCCAAGCCTCGGATCAGACCCCAGCCTCGGGCAAAATGTGACTGTGGCCTTGTGAGACCCCAAGCTGAGTCATGCCCAGACTCCCCATGCATGAAATCTGTGAGATAATAACTGTGCATCGTTCTAGCTGTTAAGTTCATGGCCATCTGCTATTTAGCAATAGAAAACTAAAAATGCATCTTAAGACTCGACTGTTTATATGCTGAGCCCAGGCTTAGGGTCTGATCACAATGTCCATAGTAAGGAAGTGGTATGTCTCAGCTGTTTGGTATTAGGATCTCAGAAGCCATATAGAGAAAGCGTTGTTTTCTGAAGGTCATCAGCAGGAAACCATGAATCAACCAAGATATTTACTGTTTACCTACAGGGGTAATGTTGCCAGCACAGAAAAGACCATTTTTACTGATGATTGATTGGTCCAGAAACAAGCAAACACTGTGACCGTGGCATGTAGATGGAAGTGGGACACTAACGTGGAGAGAAACCTTGGGCTGCCGATAGATGACTCACTCACCTGTGCCTCACCCATGTGTCACACTCGCTGGCCCGCTCCGTGTAGTTCTCTGGCAGGAAGCCCCGGCAGCCAGTCCGATGCGAGATCCCAATGGCCCAGCCCTCGCTGGCTTCCTCCTGCTGAGTGGGGTCCACAAAGATGTAGTCGCCAGGACGCAGTGTCAGCTCATCCATGTTCTGGGGTTTGTACTGGAATAGGGCTCTCAGGGTCTGGAAAAAAGGGAAGTGCCTTCGTGACTCAAGCAAGGACAGGTGCTGAGAAATGTCACAGTAGGAGGCCATTCCACCTGCTTGTTGCTTGCAGGCTCCCGGATGTGCGCTACACCTCCAAGACACTACCCCAGCCTTTGTCCGGTGGTAGTGTGAAATAGAACAAAATGCAGCAGAGAATCCTTTGGGTAGATTTAGAAATGAATTTTGGCATCTATCCATCTATCTATCTATCCATCAATCACCTCTTTCTTTTTACTTATTTCTTACACAAAAGATCTTGATGATAACCAAACCTTCACATCCACCTTCTTTAGGGTGAGGTTATCTATAGCTTCTTTACACTATGGAACACCGTAGATTCACGCGTACGTAGTCCCCTGGGTCTGAAAGGAACACAGCACACTTTCTATTTAAACCAGTCAGCTTGTGGGGAGGAAGTCTTGGGAGGAGGTTTCACCCAAATCATTACTTAAACAAATTAATGAGCAGTACAACATATTCATAAATTTTTATAGTAGTCCATTTTTATTACCAGAAATGCTTCCTTTTTTAATCCAATTTTTGTGTGTCCACAACTCATGTATAAAAGAAGGCTAGGTCTAAATTGTATGAAAAAAGGAAATTATTTTAGAGAAAGAGTAGAATTTCTTTCTACTGAAATGCTCCAGCAGAGGGCTCCTGGGGGTGAGGCTCTGCTGGACCCCTCTCTTCCTCTGTGGTGGGGAGGGGAAGGGGATGGGGGGAGGAGTCAGCAAAACGGCCCCCCTAGGCAGCTCCAGCAGAGGCCTCCAAGGCCCGGGTTGCTCACCTGGTAGTGCACGAAGCGCATGTCTCGGGAGTACAGCGCTGCGGTCCACTGGCAGCCGGGGCCGGGGCGGATGGCTCTGGCCAGCTGCTCCAGCGCCCTCTGGTGGTGGGGGTAGAACTTGTGGGCCAGCGTCAGGTGCAGCTGCTTGGTGCAAGGCTTCACGGTGCAGTCTGTGAAGTCAGATAAACACAGGGGTGCTGGGCACCCTTAACCGCACTGTCACCCCTGCACACCCAGGACCAGCTCTCAATGTCTTGGCACATGGGGCTTCCTGCCTCTGCCCACTCCTTACCCCTCTAGCCTGGGGCTTCCTTGAAGGCAGTGAACCTTCCCTGACTATACTGTCTCAAAGAGTTTACCTTCTAAGGGAGGTGAGTGGATACCTGCAGATTTTAAAGGAGTAAGAAAGAGGGGACTGTAGAGATGTGGGTTTTGGGGGGTTGGGGGACTTATGGAATCTAGTTGCTCAAACAGTTGGTAAAATGTGTGGTGTGACATTTTTTTCTGTCGGTCCCTGTGGGGGTGCACATTACTCAGCAGGCTGGACCAGAAGCCTCTCCCACCAGTTCAATGGCTTTTTGTTCCACTGCAGTCTCAGCAGGAAAATGCCACAGGCAATACAACCCCACAAAACACACCAGGTCTAAGATTCTGCTCACTTTGGTGAGGCTGGAAGCCCTGGGAGAGGCCACCTCTGCTCTCTCGGGGTGGCCTCCGGCTCAGGGCCCAGCTCTCAGGCCCCCAGCCCACGTTCCCAGGTCAGCCACGCTGGATTTCAGCAGGGCCACAGAATCATTTATGTTATGTTCTGGGGAGGGGCTGCTGCGCGGGGGCAGCACAGACTTCGGTCTCTGGTAGACCTGGCTTTACCACCTTCCGCCCCTTCTGGCAGGTGGCCTTTGGGGGGCACTGTGGCCTGTGTGGCCTGACGCAGCTTCCGTTTCAACAGCAACAACTTGCACCCAGTGCTGCCCGCCTGCTGGGCCGCCTGGAAACCAGCCCCTAACTTGTGGTCTCTGGGAGTCTCAGGAAATACTCATCACTGCCACCTCTCCCAAGGGCAACACCAGCCAATAGCCTTTTTTTATAGTAGTCCATTTTTATTACCAGAAATGCTTCCTTTTTTAATCCAATTTTTGTGTGTCCACAACTCATGTATAAAAGAAGGCTAGGTCTAAATTGTATGAAAAAAGGAAATTATTTTAGAGAAAGAGTAGAATTTCTTTCTACTGAAATGCTCCTGCAGAGGGCTCCTGGGGGTGAGGCTCTGCTGGACCCCTCTCTTCCTCTGTGGTGGGGAGGGGAAGGGGATGGGGGGAGGAGTCAGCAAAACGGCCCCCCTAGGCAGCTCCAGCAGAGGCCTCCAAGGCCCGGGTTGCTCACCTGGTAGTGCACGAAGCGCATGTCTCGGGAGTACAGCGCTGCGGTCCACTGGCAGCCGGGGCCGGGGCGGATGGCTCTGGCCAGCTGCTCCAGCGCCCTCTGGTGGTGGGGGTAGAACTTGTGGGCCAGCGTCAGGTGCAGCTGCTTGGTGCAAGGCTTCACGGTGCAGTCTGTGAAGTCAGATAAACACAGGGGTGCTGGGCACCCTTAACCGCACTGTCACCCCTGCACACCCAGGACCAGCTCTCAATGTCTTGGCACATGGGGCTTCCTGCCTCTGCCCACTCCTTACCCCTCTAGCCTGGGGCTTCCTTGAAGGCAGTGAACCTTCCCTGACTATACTGTCTCAAAGAGTTTACCTTCTAAGGGAGGTGAGTGGATACCTGCAGATTTTAAAGGAGTAAGAAAGAGGGGACTGTAGAGATGTGGGTTTTGGGGGGTTGGGGGACTTATGGAATCTAGTTGCTCAAACAGTTGGTAAAATGTGTGGTGTGACATTTTTTTCTGTCGGTCCCTGTGGGGGTGCACATTACTCAGCAGGCTGGACCAGAAGCCTCTCCCACCAGTTCAATGGCTTTTTGTTCCACTGCAGTCTCAGCAGGAAAATGCCACAGGCAATACAACCCCACAAAACACACCAGGTCTAAGATTCTGCTCACTTTGGTGAGGCTGGAAGCCCTGGGAGAGGCCACCTCTGCTCTCTCGGGGTGGCCTCCGGCTCAGGGCCCAGCTCTCAGGCCCCCAGCCCACGTTCCCAGGTCAGCCACGCTGGATTTCAGCAGGGCCACAGAATCATTTATGTTATGTTCTGGGGAGGGGCTGCTGCGCGGGGGCAGCACAGACTTCGGTCTCTGGTAGACCTGGCTTTACCACCTTCCGCCCCTTCTGGCAGGTGGCCTTTGGGGGGCACTGTGGCCTGTGTGGCCTGACGCAGCTTCCGTTTCAACAGCAACAACTTGCACCCAGTGCTGCCCGCCTGCTGGGCCGCCTGGAAACCAGCCCCTAACTTGTGGTCTCTGGGAGTCTCAGGAAATACTCATCACTGCCACCTCTCCCAAGGGCAACACCAGCCAATAGCCTGTTCCCCCCACAGAAAATGTCAAGCTTGATGCTAGCACCTCCTGGAGCCCAGGCTTGTCTTCCATCCTGTACGTGAGCCTTTGGTGGTGAATATGAAACCCTGCAGGTGGAAGCCTAAGCAGACAGTGTGTGGGCGGCGGGGCAGCCCCTCTCCGAGCTGCTCAGCAGTGGGGAGGACAGCCTCACTCCGTGCGTCGGCCTGGCCTGGGAAAGACCCACTGCCAGTCGTCACCGGGGTGATCGGTGAGTCATGCCGGCTTCTGAATGGGCCTTGTCCTTCCTTCTCTCCGTGGCTCCATGCCTGTGGGGACAGTTCACTAGGGAGGGACGCGCTTGCCCTGAGAGGGACCCAAGACACAGCAGAGCTGTGACCGGCCCCTCCTAACTCCTCAGGGTCAGCGTCAGGCCCAGGGCACAGGCTGCGCAAGGCAGGGTGGTGACCAGGCCAGGCGACACAAACCACCATGAACAGGGGCCTGAGACCATGAACGTGTGTCTTCTCGGTCTGGAGGCCAGAATTCTGAAATCCAGTTGCCGGCAGAGCCGCCCTCCCTCTGGAGGCTCTGGGGAAGGTCCTTCCTGCCTCTCCCAGCTCTGGAGGCTCCTGGCATTCCCTGGCGTGTGGCCGTGTCTCTTCACTCTCTGCCTCTGCGGTCACATGCTGTCCTCCCTGCGTCTCCCTGTGTCTCTCCGCTTCTTACAAGGACACAGGTATTGGATTTAGGGCCACCCCACTGGAGTGTGACCTCATCCTTCCTAATTGTATCTGCAAAATACTATTTGCAAATAAGTTCCTTTTCTGAAGTTTTGGGTGGACATGAATTTTGGGGGAAACCATTCTCCTAATGACAGTGACCTTAGGCAAGCTCTTTACCCTTTACAGACCTCAGTTTTTCTATTTTCAAAATGGAGCCACTTTCTGGAGGGCATGAAGAGTGAGTGAGGTGCCACCCCTGCTCTGAGGCATGTGGTTGACAGGTGGCATCAGGACAAGGAGCACATGGTCCATTTGGAGGCAAGGAGATTAATGATCCATCATTTGAGCTAGCTGGAGCCTTGCTGTCCAGACCAGGGCTGGTGTTGGAGGAAATGGAATTTTGCTGATTCTCAAACCGAGTCTAGATAATCTTTCTCCCAAGAGCCCAAAGAGAAAACACTATGCTTCTATCTAAACAATTAAAATAAGTCAATCAGGACTTATGTCTTACAGCGCTGAACCCATGAGGAGGCATGCCCACAGGCGCCTGGGGCTGATCGCCCCATGTGCGCACCAGCCCACAGTCCCCCATCATCCCAGGGCAACACAATGTCCCCTCCTGGGACAGTCCTCCAGGCAGCTGGAACATGGCAAATGCTTGAAAAACCACCTCCGTGCAAACAAGGGTGTCCCCGCTTAGGGAGCAGACAACTGCTGGGCCTGGGTCTGTTTGCTGAACCTCTGAAGGGCATCCTGGCCCCTCAGGGAGGCTGGAGTTAAACTGCTCAGCCTCGGTTCGGGCCGCGTCAGAGAGACTGACTGCAAAGGGAGAGGTGGGGGTGGAAGGGGTGTGGGCGGGGGCGTCTGCCCACCTGAGCCCGGCCCTGCCCGCCAGCCGGCTGCTGCTGCGTCAAGGCACAGCCTGCATTCTGCACCTCGGGGATCATGCCCTGCATCCAAATGTGGCAAGCGTGGCCCTGGACACAAGGGGTCACTTCTTATCCCTGGCCCCCCGTGTGCAGCTGGCTAGGGCTGCCTACCTGCTAAGATGGATGCTTCCGTGGCGAAGGTCATGGCGAATTCCCGGATGACGTCTGCAGGGCTGTCATTCACGAAGAAGCCCAGGTAGCTGACAGAAGAATGGAGAACCAGGGGGACCGCCGAGGGGAAGGAGCCCAGCACCCCGTCGCCAGCCCTCTTCAGAGCCTCGTACAGACAGTCCACCTTGTGATCCTCACACTGAGGGGACAGGGAGGGGGCCTTCTCACCTCCGCTGCCAACCTCATTCATGAAATGATGCAGCCAGGCCGCTTTCCTGGTCACCGTGCTGTCACATGATTTATCTACCCACGTGTCTGTCCTGTGCTTGGTCCTGAGTTTCTTAGAGATTGCAGGTGAGATTTCTTTTGAATGGAATATCCTTTATGTGTCCTCCCACTACATCTTGTCCCTGCACGTCATGGCCAGTCCACCCGTGCCGCAGTGCCCCTGCCACGGTGGCCTGCCAGGGTGTCCTGCCGCGGTGCTCCCTGCTGCGGTGCTCCCTGTCCCCCTGACCAAACTGCTCAGCAGACCGCCAGGCCTGTAGGCCCTGTGCTGCCTGCACTGCTGCCCACCCCCCAGCATACTGCCCTCCAGCTGGGCCAGCCCCCCTCCCTGTTCCTGGACTCCGCGTGCCCACTTCCAAGTCTTGGAGGCCTTCCTCCACATGGAAGGCTCCACATGGCCACGTGAGAAGCCGAGAGACCCAGACCCACGTCCCCACAGGAAACGGGCTCACTCCTGTCTCGTCCCAGCAGGGGCTCCCTCTGAACGTCCAGGGTTTATTCCCTGAGGTCTACACCATGGGAGAGTTTTTATGCGCATCTCCATCTCCTTTCTCTGGCCATCCCTGTCTGCCTTATCTTTGAAGCCCACGTGGCCTGGGAGGCCCTGCTGCACGGAGCACACTAGACCCCCAGGCACTGAGGGAATGACCGCCTGTCCCCACGTGTGTCTCCGTCTCAAATACTCACCTGGGAGCACAGAGTCACATAACAGAGCTGTCATTGCCACCACATGGTGATTTCACAGTATCAAAGGCAAAGATGGGACCCTTACCGCGCTCTCCTGACTGGGAGGGCACTTGGCCACCAGGACAGGGCTGGGGATGCGGGTGAGCAGGGCAGCTGATGCGAGGGTGTGTGTGTGTGTCATCTGTGTGTCAATGTGTACCTGTGTATGTGTCTGTGTACCCATGTGTGTGTCTGTGTACCTGTGTGTGTCTGTACACCTGTGTGTGTATCTGTGTACCCGTGTGTGTGTCTGTGTACCCGTGTATGTGTCTGTGTACCCATGTGTGTGTGTCTGTGTACCCATGTGTGGGCTGGGACAAGGAGCAGAGGCCCAGGCCGGCCCCCTCACTGCCCATTTCCAAGGTTCCGCAGCTCTGGCTGCTCTGCCCTGGTGAGCTCCGAGGACACGTCAGAATGGAGTGTGACTATCACAGAGGCCATCCTGGCAAAGATGGGCAAGGCGGCCCACTCACCTCAGTGTGTCCGGGGCATTCTGGGTTTTGGCATGGAGAGTCCTGTGTCTTGGGGACCCCCGCCCCAGCCCCCTGCAGACTGGAATGTCTCTCAAGGCTCTGGGAGGCACTGCTCTCTGGGGCTGTCTTCCGGAAGCCTTCCCTGCAGAGGTTTGTGTCCCCTCCCCATATGGCACTGTGGAGCCAGGAAAGGATGGCCCCTGGGCTCTCGGGGGCCTCAGCATGGGGGCGTCCTCAGCGTTTGCTGAGAGCAGAGGCCGGGCACCAGCTGTGCCCGCTCCAGCTCCTCTGCTGGGAGCCGCAAAGGAAGTGGCTGTCTGTCTGTTGTGCCTCATTCCTAACCTCCTCCTCTTTTGGGCAGCCCAGGTTCTCCTCGCATTCCCAGGACCCTGTGAAACCCCCTATTTGGCCATTTTCTAAACTGGGGCTGGTGCCTGAGGCAGGGAAAGTCCTGCATTTGCAAGTGGCCAGTTAGCCCACCACCCATTTCTGAAGCACCTACTCTGTCTGAGGCACTGTGCTCATCTCTGGAGGTACACAGACCCCCTCTCTTTCTAGGGGCTCCACCAAGTGAGGAACACAGAGCTGCAGAAGACGCATTGTCACACAACACGGAAGTGCCACTAGATGTGGACAAAAGATGGTGTGGGCACAAAGGGCAGTAACCCCTTCTGCTTGGGGAGCTGGGGAGACTTAAAAGGGAGGGGATATGTGAGTTGGGTTCTGAAGGGTGCATAGGGGTTGACCAGCTGAAGCTGAGGAGCAAAGTAGAGGATATGCCACACAGAAAGGCCAGCTAACACTACAGCTATGGACCACCCCATGGCAATAAATCACGTGGCTGACTTCAATTTTTTTCCATCATTACCTCATTACCATAAAAAAGTGACGTCAGCTGCCATGTTAACGAACACTGGTGCCACAGAGGGGCTGACTCACCGTGAAGAATTCACACAGCGTGATGTGAGGGAAGACCTCATGAGCTCTGTTCTTGGTGCACTGACGCTTGCTCTCTCTCCAGAACTCCTGAAGCTCCTCCAGCAGGGATCCCGTGGGGCAGAGGAAGAGGGCATACTCCTGGGGGATGGGATCATCTAGAGAAGGGTCATTGCAATGACAGTGCAGCCTGCAACACAGGTCAGGCCACTTTCACCCAGCGTCATGACAGAAAGGTTCTCGCTCCATGTAGGATGGATGACAGCAACTCAGAGTAACAGCCATGCTAAGCGCCCAACTTGGACATGCTGCCCAGCTGACCTTCCAGCAGCCTCTTGGGTGAGTCGCACCAGGCATGGGGCCGTGCAGCACAGAGCAGGTGGGCGTCCACTCCAGCCTTATCCCCAGGTTAGTATGATCCCCAGGTCAAAGACCAGGAAAGCCAGAAAGGTGATGGAAAAACTCAGAACCTGGCTTTCAAATGATCTTTGAGGTCTAGCCATCTTAATGTTGAAAATACTTTGCAGGAAAAATTCACATTTTAATGTTATCTCAAACTTCAAATTAAGTGTAAAAGTTAAAGCCACAAAAAAGCTAGACAATATTTAAGTGGCTATTGTATTTATTGTATTTTCTTTCTATTCAGAAAGTTATTTTAAATATAAGGGAAAATATATATAACCCAAAATTCAAGTTTATACTCACTAATAATAAAAATGCAGATTAAGATGACGATAAGGTACCATTTTTCTCATCTGTCAAACTAACAACATGTTTTTCAAAGGACAAAAGTTGTGCTCAATTGTATGAAAGGTGCAGCGAGACATAAGGATGAATTTGTGCAACTTTATATAAAACAATTTTCCAGTATGCATTGAAAGCTTTAAAATACCCATTCTGCTTGAACAAATAATTCTACTTTCAGAAATCTAGCCAAAGCAAAAAGCAAGAAGTGTAGATAAAACTGCATGTGTAAAATATTTATTGCAGGGTTATTTGTAATAGGAAAGGAGGAAATGCTAGATAAATGACAAGAAACTTATTTATCATCTGCTCATAAGCAATTGTGGTTTTGAAGACTTTCTAATGATTTTGGGAAGTGCCTGAGACACAGTATTCAGTTTAGAAGGCAGGAACAAGCCCTTGAGAAAATATCAGTTACGCGGATCTAACGCGGATCTATTCTCCTTAATAATAAAAAAATACCAACAGGGGAAGCAAACCACATTGCTCCTGGCCCACGCCCCCTTCTAGAGGTGATCTCAGCTGTTAATCTGCTTTTTCTTCTGGGAATTTAAGTAACAAATCCATAGATAGCACTTGCATGTGTTTTATATAAATCAAGCTCTTGTTCAAGTCATTCTACAACTCGCATTTTTTGCTCAGCAGCATGTTTTTGTGATGTATCCCTTTTGATATGGACACATCTGGTTAGGCTTGTCACAGTGACTCTTCTGAGGGTCCACGATATTCCTCCTATACATGATTATTGTTTCATTCATCCATTCCACTGACGGACATTCACATCAGAAAAATATTTCATAACACTGTGATCAAGATCTTTGTACATGTGCTTTTAGGCCTTTTGTATCTTTGCAGGGAATGTGCTTAGACATGGAACTAAGGGCAAGGGGCTGCACACATTTTCAGCGCTGGCAGATACCCCAGACTGCAGCCCGGAAAGAGAGAGAACACCCCTGCTGGACCCTCGCCTCACCGCGCTTGCTGTTGCCTTTGTTTTTAATGGCGTCTTAATTAAACTAAGGTCAGGTCCACGCCTGGCTGAGTCTGGGCCGCTCTGTCTCCCTGCTCCTTGGTGGGACTGAGCCAGAGCCGGCAGGGACCAACCATGGCTTTCACAGCAGGGGGTTTGGTTTGTAATTCAAATGTGGCGACTGACCTCAGAGTTAGACTGGCCCTGAGGGTTGCCCAGGTGCTTGCCTTCGCTAGACTTGAAGGAGGGGGCGGATTCCCAGCGAGGGCATGCCGGATGCTCAGAGACCCACTGCGGCTCTTGCTCTCCTGCTCGGGAGAGGGCACCGCAGTCTGGTGGGACCTGGTTTTTATTGTTTGATTTCCACTGAGGTCAATCCGGCATGAGGGTAGGGGACTTCCCACCGAGGGGCAGAACGGTGGCATTGCGGCACAGTCAGGCTGGACTGGGTTTTAGAGAATGGGGTGCCCTCTCCTTGATCCCCAGCAGAAAATAGAGGCCCACAGCAGAGGGCAGCTTGCAGGGTGCCACCGCTGGTCCATGGTAGAGTCACCTGGAACCCACAGCGCCCTGAGGCCCCCAAGCCCTCCGCTCCTGGTCAGGTGCAGGGGGTCAGTGCCTCTGGGGGCATTCATGACTTTCAGTAAATTCTCTCCCCCACTGAGGGGGCCTGAGAAAGTCGTATCCTCTGTCTTAGGTCAGCAAAAATGGCTCTGCATTTACTTAACAAATCACATGAATTTTTTCTTCATAGGCAGATGTAATTTGGATTAAATCAGATTTTTAGGTAAGGAAAGCTGGGGTCAAAGCCCCCCCACCTCTGTTCTCTTTTCCCTGGGTGCTGGGTGGGCAGGCCCAGAGTGTGGCAGGCACCTCCCAGGGCACCCCCTGCACTGCCCACTTTGGTCCAGACACGCTCCACACCTGCGAGGCTGGCCCCACTCACCAGTTCGATGCCTCTTCCACCGTCTTTCTCCCAGTAGCTGCCAACGCCTTTAACCTGGGGGGAAGTGGAAAGCGATGCTCTCAGAACCCCGTCCTGCATTCCCCAGAAGGAGCCAGAGCAGCGGGGAAGGCCCCGGAGCCCGTCAGGCCCCCAGGTCTGGCTGCCCAGCTCCACAGCTGGGCACAGTGCCCAGGCTTCCTCCAGCCTCCACTTTGTGCCACTGTGGGGTTTGAAAATGCAGGCCACCCGGGCTTTCCTTCACACTGTCCTCCATGGCGCCCACCCCCAGGCCTGCACATGGAGTCCAAGCCGGGGGTCTGCCATGCCTTCAGTCCTTTCTGCCCTGCCCTTGCCCATGCACTCTACCCCAAAGCCAGGTGGGCCCCCTCTCGGATCCTCAGGCTGGTCACCAAGGGCCACATCCCTGGTTTGCACATCTGCCTTCCTGCTAGAGGCAGCGCTGTGCCAAGGTGCCCTCAGAGAAATGGCAGCAGGTCTTTCAGGCTCGGCTCAAGTCCCTCCTCCTGAGGCCTTCCCCAAACTGCCCAAGCGGGCTGGATAGGCAGACCCCACAGCCCCCAGCGCGCATACGGCCCCCACATTTCTCAGCACAGTGAGCTTGTGTCCATTCGCCTCCCCTACCAGACGTGGAGGTCCTGAGGCCCAGCTGGGACTTACTCATCCTTGTAACCTGGACCTGCAGACATTGAATTGAATTGAACTGAATGGGACCAAACAGGGCAGAATGGAGTACGGCTGAGGTGATTCGCTCAGGCGTTCAGCCAGACAGAGCCAGGCTGATGAGGAGCCCAGTACCGTGCTGCCCAAGGCTGCTAATTGGGGATGAAGCCACCTGGAGAGGTTTCAGTGGGGAGGCCTTGGCACGGAGCCTTACCTGAGGGTGTCCAGCCTACATGCGAGCTCAAAGCATACTTCTTTACCCCAACATCTGACTGTTGTTCAAATTAGAGGGTTTTCTGACTACGTGTGGGTGCTCCTGTTTCAGCCGTACAATAAAACGTGGGCTACAGAGGCACCAGAGGGGGGTCCCATCCGGCCTTACCACGCCCCGCCCTCTCTGGCCTCAGTGTCTCCAGCTGCACCGGATGGAAGGCACCTGGGATGCTGTCTGGCCTGCAGCAGTGGTTCTGCTCCCCATTTCCCAGGCCCCCAGTTCATTATGGATGTTATGGGGATGACAGACCGGACTTGGATTGGAAAAGGAAGGGTGGGTGTAGTCTCAGAGCAGTTTCATCTGATTTGGTTAGGGTTTTGTGACAATGTTTAAGGAAAGTTTGCCCTCCTCCTACCCTAATACCTAAGGGGCCTTCTGATGTATTTCCCTATGTGACTAAGCACGTGGAAGGACCAGATCAAAGAAATCGGTTTCCTGTGGAAGCTGAAACCCCAGGTCAGTACGCGGCTCATGGCTTTGGGAGATTTCCCTGCCTGAGAAGGGGGTCTCCTAAGGTTAAGTATTCCATGTGCGGGCCTTTTCCTTGGTAAGGAGGATCCTGCCAACACTGTTCCAGTACTTTCTTAACCATGTCTTTTCTTTATCAGACATTCTAGAGGTTTTCCCTATGGACAAATGCTTTTGCCACACTGTTTGGAAATATATTCCTATTGATGGTTCTCTTAACAGGTCCCAGCATGGGAGACTCCCTGGACTTTGGAGTCTTGAAAATCAGAGCCTGAAATACTTCAAAATGTCATCTCAGAGTCAGTGAACTGCCTGGTATAACCAGGCCAAAGCACCTCCCAACCCCCAGAAATAGGGGTGCTTCTAATTCTCACACATTTCAGGACCACCCCATCCCCCAGCCATCAGAGTTTGTCTTTAGAAGGCAAAGATCATGCCATGTATAAAAAGTAGAAAAGGGGCCCTATTTTGAGACAGTATCTTGCACTGCATGGTGCAGCCCCACAGCAGGAAGTAGCGTTCCAAGCTGCCTGCAGGTTGGGGCAGGGGCCGTATAAGGGTTCGTGGGGTCTTGGGTACAGGCAGTACTCACGCGGTGTGTACCGGGAAGCCCATCCCCAGGAGGGAATCCAGGAGTGAGGGCGCGCTGCGGCCTTTGAGCCGGTTGGAGACCTTCGCGTAGAGCTGAGTCTCCCCAGCTGCCATCTCTTCCTGCCCGCGGACTGAAATGAGCAGATAAGCCAGAGAGCAAGGGCAGGCGAGGCTGAGGCTGCGAAGGAAAACCTCAAGCCCGTTTTGATCTTTCTGACAAAAGCTAATATCCTGTTTGCACTAGAGGATGGTTTTTCAGAATTTTCTTTGCAGGTCGCTGGGGTGCTGCGCCCACCAATCCTGTTTCCACTGTGGTGCTCAGGTTCCAGAGGGTCGCCAAGCCCCTGTGCGGGATCTGACTGTGCACTGACTTGGACTGCATTTGGGAACCAGTGTGCACAAGAGGGGGTGTGCAGGGAGGGCAAGGGAGTACAAGCCAGGGCTGGGGCTCTCTGCTGGGCTGGGTCTTCGCTGGCTTGTCTGCAAGACATTCCACTGTACCCATTGTCTCCATTAGCCCTGAAATTTGGGGTTCTTTTAGTTATTCATTGAACTTCTTTCTCAATTCTAAAAACTTTTAAAGTTTCATATGTATGCAGAAAAGTTGGCAAATCCTAAGCGTGCAGCTTTATGAACTTTCATCAGGTAAGCACACACACCTGAGTTGCCCAGGAACCCCCAATAAAACAGTGGTCCTCAAAGGGGGAATTTTGGCCCCCATCCCTGGGGACCACTGTCAATGCCTGGAGACATTTTTGCTTGTCACAATGGCAGGAGTGGGTATTTGCTCCAGGTGTCTAGCAGGTTGAGGTCCGGAATGCCACAGTGCACAGGAGAGCAAGAAGGATCTAGCCCACATGATCAATAACATCAAGGTTGAGAAACTGCTCTAGAACATCACCAGACCCTCAGCACCGCTGCCTCAGCCCCAGCCCCCGGCCCAGCCCCCTACAGCACGTGCTCTTTTGGGTCTGGCTTCTTTTGCTCAAAATGATGTGTGTGAAATTTACCCACATTGTTGCTTGTAGCCATAGTTAGTTCACTGTATGTAAATGTGCGCCTGATGCATGCATTTCATCGAGGAGTGGGACACAGGATATGTGCATGCTTCATTAGAAACTGCCAAGTGGTTTTACAAAGAAGTTGTTCCAGTTCACCCTCTTGCTGGGAGAATATGAGAGTTTTTGCTGCCATACATCCTTGCCCACACTTGGTGCTGTCATTCTTTTTGGTCTTTAGTGTAGTGGTAGCTCTCTGTGGTTCTGATTTGCATTTTCCTGAACTGCATGACATTGAACGCACGACAGGCTATTGGCTATTCAGATAACCTCTTTAGGGAAGGGCCGATTCCAATCTTCTGACTTTTAGAATTAGATGGTTTGGTTTTTCTTATCAGTTTCTGGGACCTCTGGAGACGTCTTTTGTTAGATCCATTTGGTGATTATAACTTCTTCCAGGCTGTGGTTTCCCTTTTTCATCCCATAATAATGTCTTTGGGTGAAACTACATTTTTTAATCTGAATGAAAATTGATTAATCAATCTTTTCTTTTATGGTCAGAACTTTCTGCACCCCATTTAAGAAATCAACGTTAATCTGACATTGATAAGATAGTCCTATGTTTTCTTCTTGAATCTTTACTAATTTTACTGTTCAGATTTAGCTCTGTAATCCACTTGAATTATTTCTTCATATGAAGCAGGGTTAAGTGTTTATTTATTTCCCTGCATCTTATTCATTGAAAAGACCCCCCTTTGCCCAGTGAACTGCAGTAGAGTGTTCAGTATAAATTGCATGACTGTATCTGTATTTGTTTCTGACTCTATAATGTCCTTGTATTTGATCTGTCCATTTTTGTGCCCACACAACACTGTTTTAATTACTCCGGTGTTACACCCTCTGATTTTGTCTCCAGGATTGTCTTGGCTCCTCTAGGCTTTTTGTTTTTTCATATAAATCTAAAAATCAGGTCGCCATAGTGAGCCATTGGAGAGTGCGGGAAGACCCACAGCATGGCCATTTGATGGTCCACAAAGGGACCAATGTGATTTAATAGGGGCAAGGCTGATCGTCTTGGCAGATGACGCTGGAAACTGTGCATCAGAATGGGGAAAGCATGAACTTCAGCTCCTCACATCATGAACAAAAATTAACTCAAAATGTGTGATGGACCCAAGTGTAAAAGTTAAAACTACAAAACTTCTAAAGGAAAAACTAGGAGAAAACTCTTTGCTTCATAGGAGTTTGCACAGCTTTCTTATGATGTGAAAAGTATGAATTATAACGGAAAAAAATAGATAAGTTGGATTTCATCAAAATTGAAAACTTCTGCTCTTTGCAAGAAACCATAAAGAAAATGAAAAAGCAGGCCACAGCCTAGGAGAAAATATCACCATATGTACTTGGCAAAGGACTTGTTTCCTGAATATACAGAATATGACATAATGTGTACACACATCTACTGTGTGTATATATATGCTTATGATGAGTAGTAAGAAAACAATTCAGTTTAAAAATGGGCCAAAGAGGTCAATGGACACTTGACAAAAGAAGATACACAAATGGCTAATGTGGATGTGAAACAATATTCAACATCATTAGTCACTGGGGAAGTGTAAATTAAAACCATAATGTGATACCACAACACACTTCCCAGAAGAACTGAAATTGAAAAGACTGGCAATGCCAAGTTTTGATAAGGCTGTGGACTAACTGGGACTCTCATACATTGTCCAGCCACTTCGTAAAACATGTTGACAGTTATAAAATTAAGTGTACATTTATCCTATGACCATCCCTCTCTGAGCTCTCTCCAAGGACAAATGAACATGTATGACCACACAAAGACTCGTGGATGAATGTCTTTGGTGGCTTTGCTCACAGTGGACCCAGACTGGAAAGACTCTGAATGTCTCCCAACAGGCATACGGATGCACAAATTATGGTATATTCATCAAGGGGGCAGCATTCATCAACAGGAAGGGACACTCCTCTGATTCAGGCAACAACACAGGTGAATTGAAAAGACCATGTGTTGACCAAAAGAAGTCAGACACAGGATTACACACACTGTATGATTCTATTTAAATGAAATTCTTAAAAAGGTAAAAGTAATCCATACAGAGAGAAAACGGGTAAGTGGTTGCTTGATGCTAGAGTCTGAGGGAGTTTTCGGGTGATGGAAATGTTCTGTATCCTGATTTGGTGGTGACTATGTGGGTGTATAGATCTTCAAGCCTGAACTGAACACTTAGAATGGGTGCATTTTTATAATGTGTAAATTAAACCTCAATAAAATTAATGTTTAAAAAGGAAATGGAAGGAATGCTAAAGACAATGAGAAGCAGTATGCTCATTTCCACCAGAAAAGGCCTGCTGGGATTTTGTTTGGAACTATGTTGAATTTATAAATCAGTTTTAACAACATTGAGTCTTCCATTCCATGAATATGGTATATGTCCCTATTTATTTAATTTCTCTTAGTTATATTGCATAGTTTTCAGTTTCTTGCAATTCTGTCACAAATTTATGCCTTTGTGTTATATATGTTTTTCATGCTATTGTTTAAAAATTATTTTTTTTCTGTTTGTTTGTTGTCAGTGTATAGAAATACAATTGGTATTTATATATTGACATCACATCCAATAATCTGGCTGAGATCACTTATAATTCTAATATTTTATGGATTCTTTTGTATTTTCTATGTATACAATTATGTAATCTTCAAATAATGGCAATTTTCCCCTCCCTTTCTAATATTTATAAATTTTATTCCCTCTCCTTGCCATATTTTTCTAGCAAAATCCTTCAGTGCCATCTTGAACAAAAATGGCTTTTTTAGTAGATATCCTTTGTCAGATTAAAGAAGTTCCTTTTCACTTCTACTTTTAGGGTGTTTAAAAAAATTGTGAGTGGATATTGAATTTTATCAAATGTTTTTTCTGCATCTATTTATCATGCTGTTTTCTTTATTTAACCAATGGGTAACTTACACCTACTAACTTGTGAATGTTAAATCAACCTTGTTTTCCTAAGATAAAACCTCCTTGTTTATAATACATCATCCTTTTTATGTATTGCTGGATCCAATTTGCTAATACTTTGTTTAGAATTTTTGCATCAATATTTGTGAATTAGCTTGGCCTGCTGTTTTCCTTTCTTGTAATTTCCTTGTCAGATTTTGATGTCAGTGGAGTGACCAACTCACTCTGATTTTCCTGGGCTTGGCACTGAAAGTTCTTATCCCAGAGCCCCCTCCGTCCCAGGAGAAAGAAGAGTGGTCATCCTGTGTGTTAGTGTTATTCTGGCCTCATAAATGAGTTGGGAATTACTAAGCAAATTAAGCAAGACTTTTGGATATAAATTCAAAGTAAGACAATGTGAAATCAATAGCATTTTGATTTACCAGCAACAAATAACAACATGAAATTTTAAAAAGAAATAACTTACAGTAGCATAAAATATGATCAAATACCTGAGAATCATCTAATAAATAGATAATTCTCTAAATTTTTATAAAAAACTGGTATAATGTCTTTCTTAAATGTTTGAAAAATCTACAGGTGAAGTCATCTGACCTAGAATTTTCTTTATTGGGAATTACGGGTTTAATTTACTTAACAGATATAGGATTATTCTTCTTGTACCTGTTTTATTAACTTTGTTTTCAAGGAATTTGACCATTTTATCTAAGTGGTTGAATTTCCTAGCATACAGTCACAGGTCATCTTCATTTTCTTTCAATTCAGTTATGTAATTTTCTGTGTAGAGGTCTTACAGTATTTATTTGATGATTCTCAGGTATTTGATCATTTTTGGTGCCACTGTAAGTTACCTCTTTTTAAAATTTCATGTTGGTATTCTTTGTTGCTGGTAAATCAAATGCTACTGATTTTACATTATTTTACTTTGAATTTATTTCCAAAAGTCTTGCTTGACTTACTTATTAATTCTAATAACTTATATTTGTAATTTTACAGATATTCTATGTGCAAAAGTAATGTTTTCTATGAATAATGATAGTTTTTGTTTTTTCTTACCAGTACATGCTATTTTCTTTTAAAGTTTGTTCCTCTTTCTCTCTTTCCTTTTTTTCTTTCCTCTTTTTCCCTTTTATCCTCCTTTCTCCTTCTCTCCTCTTCCTCCCCCTCCTCTTACTTCTTGTTTGGGATTCACTGGCCTGGCTTGGTTGGCAAATATTGAGTAGATGTGGCATATGTCCCTATATTGCATCTTCTTGTATTGTTCTCCCGCTCAGAGGAAAAGCTTGCAGTATTTCACTTTTAAATGTAAGTTATATTTTTTTAATGTGTTTTTCTTTGAGGAATTGAAAGACAAAATAACTTCATAATCAAACGAATTATATATCTTAAATTTGAAAGTCTGAAAATAAACAAAACTTGTTATCCAGAGGGAAAAAAGTAGATTTGAGGTCTGAAATATATTGTCTGCTCATATGCATTTTTCTCTTTTACATAGTAAACCACTTTTTGAGCAGTTGTGCCTTTAACATATTAAAATGTAAATTTCTCCTTAAAAAGAAATCTTACTTGTGTAAGCCAGGAGATGCCCCATCTAGCTTAATTCTTTTATCTTACCTGAAAAGCTGTCTTCCAGGCCAACAGTGGGAGGACGAAAGCGCCCCAGTCCTCAGGGTCTCCTGTGGGCGACCCCAGAGCCTCCCTTCTCTCAGTGAAGGGGTCCAGGTGGAGGCAGGGACAGGGCCTGGGTCTCAGGCTGGGCGCACATGGTTGGGAAAGCTTCGGAGCTCCGAGGGAGCCCTCGGGGTAGACTGCCCCTTCTCCTACGGCCAACCCAAGGCCGTGCCTGACGCTGGCCTAGTGAATATCAGATGCCAGCCCTAGGTACACACACTTACGTTTCCTTACACTTTTATTTTGAACACAGTGGAGTTGATTTGTAGGTAACCTTTCCGAGGGGCTAATTATGGTGGTGCAAGTTCAGCCACCCTCACAGGCCCTCTGCCTGCTACTGACAGGCACACTGGCTTGACCTTTGATCTCATCTGATGCACAGGCCAGTAAGTTAACACGTTAGTACCGTCTTGTGATTGCTTGTGGCTTTTTGCAGGTCTACTCACAATTGTTCATCCACCTTGGTTGACAACAGCTCACTGACATACACGAAGCCCCTCATACGCTCACTTGCACTGTGAGTGTGCCCCAGGCCGTCCTCCCAAGGAGCACCAGCTACGACGCTCAGGTAAAGACCAAGAAAAATGAAGTCCTGTCTCCCATCACTGTCTTTGAGGGATGTTTGTCCAGGGCCTGGAGACGGCAGTTAGGGTGGATACAAGGAGGGCTGCCCAAGCTGGAAGCACCTGGCGTGACATCCTAAAGACACTGACAGGTATGTGGGCAGTGCTGAGAGGCAGGGAAGCAAGACGGAATAAACCACATTCAGGGGACTATATCTCTCTGGCTGTTGTTGCCATTGGCAAATCCCATTGCCTCTACCTTCAAAATCAGTCCCAAATCTCCAGTGCACCACCAGCACCCTGGTCCAAACAATGGCCTTGGGGGCCTGTGGGGGCCGTGGGGGCCATCAGTAGCCTCCTCTTGCTCTGTGTGCATCCCCCCCCACACTTGGTGCACACACAGGGGTCTCGGCTTGCCCCACTCCCCTGTGGCTGTGCATCACACGGAAATGAAACCTGAGGCCTCCCAATGGCCCCGGCCCTCCACGATCTGCCCGGCGGCCTCTCCAGGCGCATAAGCTTTCTTGGGGTTCCTCAGTCATTCCCAGCTCATCTTCTCCTCTGGGCCTTTGGTGCTGATGTTCCCGTGCTTGGAACAACCTCCCCTCTTAACTCACAAGACCCACTTTATCCCTTCATCGAGGTGGTGACAAAATGTCACTTCTTCCTAGAGGCCCTCCTCCACCACCCTGTCTGCTCACTCTCAGAGCCTCTCCAGTCCCATCTCTTCCTGGAGTTTGTCGCCACCCGAGACCACAGGTGCTTTGTCCCTTCTGCCACCTGCTCTGAATCTAGATGCCTGGCTCATGGCAGATGGCCTGTAAATATTTGCTGAATAAATGAATGCCTGATTCACATCTAGCTCTGCCCCACCGGCCTTCCAAAGGGCGCTCAGTCCCCTTGCCCACAGTGGCAGGGCTCTGTTCCCTCCTGATAAAACATCTTTGAACTGTATTGTGTGCAGAAAGCTCTTGGGACGCAGAGGCCCCTGCCGAAAGGGGCGTGAAGAGTCTCTCTGGAGTGCTCACTGCAAGATCACTTCAGATTCTCAGTCTTTTGTCTGCAGAGCAGCTGCAAATCTAAACCTGGGCTCAGTCGCATGCACAGGCATAGAACCCCCACCAAAGCATTTCGCCTGCCCTCTCAGCATGCTCCATGGCTTAGCACTGGGCACGACTTAACTGTTCTTTCTGACAAAAGGAGTGTGCCTTTGTTTCAAAGACTCCCTTATGTGAAGTTTCTGAAAAGGTGTGTTTACCTTACTTTACTAATTAAAGGCAAGCCCCATGTTCCCCTCCCTGGTCCCCGCAGGCACACCACCAGTGGCTACCCGATAGCCACCCGCAGCTCAGGTTACACGGACGCCCGCCGTAATGCCATTTGCCGTGATGATGGAGTCGACAAGGCTGAGTGACTCGGTGGGAGTATTTCCTGGGTGGACTAACCTGCTGGCATCACACTTGCTTTTATAATGAAAAAGGAAATTACTTCTGCCTTTGATGATGGCGGCTCCAGAAATCGTGAGTAAAGAGGGCAGGGGGAGAAAAGATGCTTCTAAAAAATGACTTCTTGACATTCCGTGATGTTGTGGAAGCTCAGTGATGGCCTGGTTGGGAAGGGACTTCTGTGTTTCACAAGGCATTTGACCATTTATTCTCAGTCTTGGCATAAAGTTAAGCGGAGTAATTTGCCCCATGCTGGCGGCAGCAACTATCAGTCAAAATCTAAGTAAAAAAGTGCTCAATGTGAGTTCACTAATTTTCTGAGGTAATTCGAATCAAAGCTCCTCCAGTGATGGAAACGAAACAGGCATTTTTAGTACGGAACTGTTAGACTTTCCTGCAACCACGTGAACTAGCCTGAAGACAAAGGTTGTTTTAAACAGTTTCATAGTTCCCTTCTCAGTCCCAAACATTGCAACAGGTGAACAGAGAGAAAATAAAAATGGGTGATCTAAGTGTGTGTTTACATACCTGTTGGGACCACTAGATTTTAGCCCTCTGTGAGGAAGCCGGTTCCCAGAGCCCCATGCCTGGCACCTGGGAGAGTGAACGGGCATTTTGCTGGGAACATTCGGACATTTCTCTGCTCTCCCGCCCCTCTTTGAGTAACTGGGGTGACGCTGAAAAACTTCTTTTTGGGCATTCGATAGGTGGGATTCTCTTGGAGCAAACAGCCCCATGGTGGCTGTGGTGCCCGCCGGAGTCCCTGGCTGCTCCTCCCTTCGCTATGTTGGAGGGGGGGCTGGCACTCAGAGGGCACGGATACTTTCACTCTTAATTAGGTCATGCCTGTTGCAGCCAGGAAAGGGTTGTGTTTACGGGAAGCTACATGCACTGTGGGCATGTACACATGTACTCCCTGGCGCCATCTACATTTTGGGGGCACAGACATTATGTAAGTATCAAAACTTCATATGGCAGGTGTACCACAGACACAGGCAAAGGGTCGAGGTTTAACTGGGTACAAAGAACAATGACAAAAAAGAGAAGGAAAGCGCTTTGAAAGCAATGTTTCTGAAACGTAAGGGTACAGTGACGTCCAAAGGTAAAAGGGCACAGCTCAAAAGATGTGCTGTTCAGGTGATTTTATGATTGGTTGAACAAACAATGGGAAAGCCATTATTTGATCAGAATTAAGTTCATGGTTTTTTGCTACAGGTCCTCTGTTATCTGCTGTGGCTCAGGAAAAAATGCATTCTCACTGGAAAAATGGTTTTGATTGATCAGTACTGAATGTTTAGTAGATTGTCCCTAGATTGTTGAATTTCAAAGATTTAACATGACAAAGATGTGTTTAATGTTTCAACTGTGAGTAGGAAGCAAACGCTTTCCGTTTCTTCTGGCAAAGGAGCTGGAGGTGGAGCCGAATCTCAGAGGTCCTGAGATAGTCACTATGGGGGAGAACGACCCGCCGGCTGCCGAAGGCCCCCTCTCCTTCAGATCCCTTTTCGGCCTTGACAATTTGAAAATAAGTCCCGTTGCACCAGGTAGGTGGAACCAGGGGTGATTTCTGTTCCCCACCCCCGCCAGTCTAGATGGCAAATGTGACTGAGTGTCCCTCTGGGGAAACACCTGTCCGGGAGTCCTCACACCCGCAGAGCTGACACGCGGCTGCCTTAGGTTTACAGAATCCCAGGAGGGCGTGTTAGGGAGGGCGTCACTTTGCTCAGCCCCTTGCCACCTCCCTGGACACTGGCGTTTGTATTCTCTGGAGGGAGGTTTTCAGAAATTGAGGTTCTGACCTCCTCTGGGAGGTAGGGGTCAGATCCTACCAGGAAATCTCTGAGCTCTCTAGGAAGTCCTGAGAACCAGTGCTGACCAGCCCTCCCAGAAAACTTAAAATAAGCTGGACATGACTGCAGGTACTGGATGCCTAGATTAAAATCCAACAGCAGGCAACAGAGTTGCTCCCAGCAATAAATACGAAGGAAAGATGGTTTGTAAATACACCACAAATGCAGGAGAAACAGGGGGCTCCAGAACGTCTGTCCAGCTAGGATCTTTTCAGCAAGGGCCTATCAGGGCTTGTCATGAGCTGTGGCTAGCTGGTCCTGGATGCAGTCACCTCTGGGACTGGGAAGGGGGACATCTGGGGGCTCTGGCTAAGAAAGTATGGAGTGGGGGTTACCCTAATGATTCCTTTTTAACTACCTGGACAATTGATGTTGTGGGAGTCGGGGTGGAAAAGATAGGAGGCAGGAGGAGAGATTTCTAGTAAGGGAAAGGATACACAATTTAAAAATATGAGTCAAAAATTAGCATAAATGTAAATTTAAAAACCACCCTGCCATCACCTGAACTGCCAGTTTCACCTGGTTTTTATGTCTGCATTCATTCTCCTGGGCTTGCCTGTAAGCATGCATTCATGCACCGAGCTGTTGCAAACAGGGGGTTTCCATGTGCCATTTGGTTTTATGCCTTTTATTGATAGCATCACAACTTTCCATCAAGTAGATGTGTAGACTACATAGCCATTTTATCGTTATTTGACAAATTATCATTTCTAACATTTCCATATAATAAATGTTATGAATGTGAATAGCACGATACATATTCTTCTCTGCTAATTTTTGAGGATTTCTTCATGATTAATCCCTAGTAGTGGGAAGGAACAAAAACTTCTTCAAACTTTTCTTTTTCAGTAAAAATATTCATTATGGAAATTCATAAAACACAATTAGTCAAAAAGATTTTTTAAATTACCCACAATTTTACCATTACTCAGAGATTAGTCTATTAGCACTTTCTTGGATTTCTTGCCTTTTTTCTATCAACATATCTGTATTTCCCTTTTGGAGTGACATACACTATTTGTACTACTTTGAAGCTTTTTTTTAAAAGAAAAAACTAAACAACATCACATCACATCTATCTTTCCAAGGCATTAGCTAATTAAATATCCTTCAGGGGCTGGCTATCTATGGCCCTTGGACCAAATCTGGCCCACTGCCTGCTCTCATCAATAAAGTTTTATTGGAACACAGACACATCCATGTATTCACATATTGTCTATGGCTGTCTTCAGGCCATAGTAGAGTTGAGTAGCTGGGACTGAGACCCTATGGCCCATAAAGCTTCAAATATTTGCTATCTGGTCCTTTATGGAAAAAGTTTACCTACTCCTTTCTCTGTCATTTAAGTGTCTCTACCCCATTTGCTATTTTACCTGTTCCTGCTGTTGGTCATTTAAGTTGTTTCCCAGGCACTGATACTGATCATAGGATAAATTCCTACAAGTGGAATTACTTGGTTGAGGAGTCTATCCATTTATAAGCTCTTTGCCATGTATTTCCAATGTGACTCTCAAAAATCTATGCACTGTGTACTCCTATTGATTGTAAGTGGTGGTCCATTTCCTTTTACTTTGGACAGCAGAGGGACCAATAATAATAATAATAATAATAATAATAATAATAATAATAATAATAATAAAAGCCATTGGGAGGGTGACATGTAGGTATGTCTAATTTCTGTTGTTTTTTTTTCATTTCCAGAGAGGTTAGAGGTTTTTGGTGCTTGTTTATCATTTGCATTCCTTCTTTGGAGAGATGCTAAGCATTTTGATTTTTGTTCTGGGACAGAATGAGGAGGATGTGGAGCCATGGCAGCACCTGGGGTCCCAGGGAGGAGGAACCTGCAGGGACAAATGTGACCCAACCCAAGGTCTAACGGAGCGGCAATCTTGGAATCCAGTTTGGACTCATTTCCTAAATCTAACTCTTAGATACAGAACACTGGGAATGACAAGGGGCTGCAGTTGGGGTTGGCGCTGTTTTTTTGCACAGTAAATGGAGACGGCCTCTCGGTGCAGGAGAGTCAGGACTTGGGTGCTGGCCTCGGGTGGGGAGGGTGGAGAGGCACCTGCTCTGCTGACTCAAGGCCACAAATCAGTTGTCCTGAAAGGAATTGGTCTCCAATCCTAAGATGGAACAACCCTCATTATAATGATGTCATCTGCTCATTCATCCACCCACTCATTCAGTTCCCTGATATTGAGCAAGGAGCCTGGCATGCCAGGTGTTGTCCAGGTACTGTGAACGCAGCTAGAATAAAGCTACCCTCTTTATTGCAAGACGGTAAAGTTGTGGGTTTCCAAAGACAAGCAGGGAGAGACCATTTTGTCTTTTCCATGGAAGACCCCTTGGCCCAACGTCCAAGACTAGGCAGAGAAGGGCAAGGCGGCCCTGCCCTGCGTAGGCATGGGATGCTCCGGAGGCTTTCTCCCCTTCCCGTTCTCCAGCCTCCAGAAGTGCACGTAAAGACAACTTCAGCAGAAAGTGTTTTCAGGATAGGTGAGGTGATCTGCACGAAATGACCTGTTCTGGCTGAGGGGAGACTCTCTGGGTTGCCCAGACAGGCTTGTACCTTTGAGTGTCCTCATGCCCTTCACACCTGTTTTTACACCCCACCTGCCTAGTTCTTCAGGCAAGAACTGGAAAGGGCTGGGATTTACCCTACATTCAAAGTGACAAGCTAGCCACAGGTCCAGGGATGCTGGTGGAAGACAAGGACACGAGACCCCTGGGTCAGACACAAAGTACTTCATCACTCACGGCACAACACACACATTCTCTCTGCGCCAGTTACCCTCGCCTGCCGAGCCCTTTGAGGTGATGTGCAGCAGCCTAAGCGAGGGGTCTGCATCAAAGCTAAGGCACAGAGCTGGGGGAAACCAAATGTTTTGTAATGGGCTGAAAGCTGACCTGCACAAACTTTGTCCCAAAGGAAGACATCATATTTTATGAAGCCAGACAGTAAATAAATCCGCCCATGCTCTGGAGAGAGATGCTATGTCTGTCTTCTGAGGCTGTTTGTTCTGCCACCATGCTTGGAGAGGTGGTCTGGAATAAAGGCTGCCAGGCTCATGGGGAATGGGCTACTCCATCATCTGGTGACCCTCTTACAGTCCCAGCTCCCCTCTCCTGAAAACACCCTCTCCTGAAAACACCCGGCTTGGGTTCCCCTGTAGGGAAACATCTTTGGGAGTTGGGGTTCTATTTCCTCTCCATTTTAGCTTTCTTGGGCTGCTAAAACTAAGTGGCACAAACTAGGGGGCTTAAAACAACAGAGATCTACTGCCTTACCAGTCTAGAGGCTTGACGTCTGAAATCCAGGGGTTGGCAGGTCTGTGCTCCCTCCAAAACCTGCTGGGAGTCCTGTTCACTCCCCAGCGTCTGGTGTATGCCGGCCCTCTTTGGTATCCCTGCCTATAGATGAACCACCCCATCTCTGCTTCACCTTCACATGGCATTCTGCCTATGTCTCTTCATATTGTCCTCCTCCTATGTGTGTCTGTCTCTGTATCTGCATTTCCCCTTTTAATAAGTACACCAGTCATATTAGATCAGGGACCACACTAATGACCTCATGTTAAGTTGTTTACCTCTGTAAAGACCCTATTTCCACATAAGATGATATTCTGAGGTACTAGAGTTCAAACGTCAATATATTTGGGGGGGAGGCAATCAAACCCACAATACAGTCCCCTGACCCAGGATGGACCCAACTCAGAGCTGGAGAGCATGGGCTGGACTTCTGGGCAGGGCGCCCCTGGGGCGGTGGCCCTCACTCTAATCAGGGCGACTCTCTTTGGGCTTGAACATTCTCGGCTTTGAGGGGAGGGCAAATGAATAGCTAGGTTTTCAGTTTTATTCTATCTCAGTTCACTGTTCTGTGGCTTTCTGCCTTTCCTTGCTTTTTGGTTTTCAGACGCAGATGCAGTGGCTGCACAGATCCTGTCACTGCTGCCATTGAAGTTCTTCCCGATCATCGTCATTGGGATCATCGCGTTGGTACTGGCGCTGGCCATTGGTCTGGGCGGTGAGTACGATGCATTATTCAGTAGGCTCTCAGGTACGTGTGCAGGCACTTAAACTTGCATGAGCTCCTGCCTCTCGCTGTACAGAGCTGCTACCAGCCTTAATTACTGCAGGCCAACACCCTCTGGGGCCCTGACTTTTGAGTTGTCTTTGCCTGCATGATTTAGAGCCAACCCGGGGCCCAGCAGGGCCACTGGCTATGCTTGGAACTCTGTCACCAAGAAACCTGTCCAGGTAGAGTTGCCCAAAGGCAGCTGATGAAATAGAATCTGGCAGGAGGGGGTGGGGGCAGAGTCATGTGAAGACAAGGAGGCCATTCATGCAGGGCCAGGCACGCCTGCTATTTTAAAAATAAGGTGCATGTGCCTTTTGTGAAAGTGAGTCACTTGAACGGTCTCTAATAGAGAACAATTTCTATTTTCTCTTGCAAATAGCTGGAGCACAGCTCAGTTTGATCTCCTGCTTGCTGTGCGGTCCACAGTCCCTTCACTTGTAGCCCAGAGTCAGAGACAACAGGAAGTAGGCTGGGGTGGAGAGTCCTCACTTGGGGCCCCTGCTCAGCCGGCTCAGCAGGCTGGTCCCTTGCCATGCACTTTCTCTCTTGACCTGGAGCCTTCCAGAGCTGTGGCTCAAGCTACCTTAATGACACAAAGTAGGGTGCAGCAGCCCAGCCCCCTGGAATTGGGAACAGAAACTGGGCAGAGAAGCTGGCTGCTGATGGAGTGCAGGTGTCATTATTCATGGGCAAGCTCCAGGCCACGTGGCCTCTGGACAGTTGTTTGGTAGCGCACTGAGTGAGCCCTTCTTAGCGTTCCTGTCTTATCTCCCAGTCCACTTCGACTGCTCTGGGAAGTACCGGTGCCGGTCATCTTTCAAGTGTATTGAATTGACAGCTCGGTGCAACGGGGCCCCAGACTGCAAAGACGGGGAGGATGAGTACCGGTGTGGTAAGCACACACCTTCCCCTGCAAATGCGGGAGGCAGCAAGCACAGCCCACGCCTGCCCTTCCCACCTGGGAAATGGGTCCATGTTTGTGTCATTGCCAATCATGTCCTCAACTGGGATCCCATTGGCATTCACCACAAGATAGTGGGCTGGTTATTAGGGGAGGGCCATTACACGGGGCTTTGATTTGGTTCCGGGGACTATACAGGCAGTAAAAAGAGATCCCCCAAGACAGCTCGGGGGGCCCACCAATAAGAACTGCCCTGCCAGGGTGGGGACACTGTGGGTGAGGAGCAGGTCACACTGAGCAGATGAGGGATCTGAGCTGACTGCAGAGGCATCTCCCCCTGTGGTCTCTGGGCTCCACTGGCCACTAATGGATCGTCCTCCCCATGTGCCGGCCAGTCCGCCTGAGCGGGCAGAACGCCGTGCTGCAGGTGTTCACAGCTGCTGCCTGGAGGACCATGTGCTCTGATGACTGGCAAGGTCACCATGCTAATGTCGCCTGTGCCCAGATGGGCTTTCCAAGGTAATTTAAAGAGCATTTCCTGCTGATAGGCAAACATGAGTCAGTGATGACAGTGAAAAAAATTGCTACCATTCAGTTGGGCACTTATGGGGCTTCAACTCACTGTCATGTTGCATCCATCACCCTCACTTATGGGTGCAGAAGAGGCCCAGTGCTGACTCACTCAAGGTCACCTGGGAAAAGGCACATTTGGGGGTGTCTTAGGGCCAGGCTGGGGCCCAAAGCAAATGCAGTGTAGTGCTTGGGCACTGAAGCCCCCTGGTTCCTGAGGCTGCAGCTCTAGGGCAGCCTCCTGGTCACCAGCCTTCTCCACGCTGTTTTCGCACCGTCCGTGCACACTTCCCAAGGAGCCCGAAGAACCAGGTCTGGAAAGTCAGCCATTTAGTGAAAACACAGTCATTAAGCACAGCTGTTGTGCAACATGTAGAAGAAAGAACAATGGTGGTGGACTCTCCACTTTTCCACGTTTGGGGGTCTACATGGCTTTCTGCATGGGGGCGACACGGCCCCCACCTTCTGACTCCCAACACCGGTGTCGTGGTGGCTGGGGCATCCCCAGACTCCCCCTGATCTGGGTTCTCAGAGTTCACGGCAGGCGGGCTCACTGAGTCTCTGCACTCCTGCTAGGAAGTTAGCGCCCCGTGCACACCAAGGAAACTGCGCATTTAAGCCTCACCGCCCTGAATTATGGAGTGACGATTTTTAAATCTGATGCATCATATCCTCAGCCCCCTTTCTCCAAAGCCAGTGAAACCCCAAACGTTCTCCAGTCTTTAACCCTGGATCAGCCCCTTCTCATCTCGTGACAATCTGGATGCAGAAATTAGCTGCAATTCAAGCTCAACATCAACAGCAAAACCCACTTGCATGATGGAGCCTCTGAGAATGAGACGTACTCCTCACGCACAATGAGGAGTTCACACCGCACACCATGGACACCAGCCATGTGCACACCATGCTGCATGTGCACCACATCACACACACCACACACCCACTGACTGTCCCCTATGTCAGATATAGAGGGGGGGGGACTGTTAAGCCTGACTTTCTGGGTCCCCAGCCCAGTGTGCACAGCTGGGATTTGATCCGAGTCAGGCCTCAAGAATAGGGTAATAGTAGTACTGCTTTAAAGGGTCAGTCATCGTGAGGTTCCAATGACCTTGGGGCATGTAAGAGCAGGCCTGGCAGGTAGGAGAGCCCTGGGAGAGTTGTGGTCTGGTTGCTAACACCACCAGGCCCTTGATGACTCACGGGACCCAGCGGTGTGGTGGGGCACCCATGCACCTCCCGGGTCCTGCAGCGGGGTCCTGGGGAACAATGGGCTCTCTCACTGGGCGCCTGCAGTCTCAGCAGGTTGAGCAATCCCGGGGCCACTGGGAAGGTCCTTGCCACCGCCTTGGTTACATTTGCCTCGACTGAGCCCTGTTCCAAGAGTGCCCGCCTGCATGGCACTGACAGCGATCTGATGACATCCTGTTGATAAGCTGGTGTGTTAGGGAGTGAAGCAAGTCTTTTGTTTGTTCCATGAAGACAGGGGGAAAGGCCATTTGTTCACCACCTCCCATCCCATAACTCTTCAAACACTTGAGTTTCCCAAACTGTGTCATGTCCGTTTTTCTCCAGGAGACCTCTTCCCTGAAGCTTTAAGCATTTGCTTGCTCCTGGTGCCCCTGAACCTCTTCCTTTTACATGGTCGTCTCTCTCTAACAGGACCCCATGCAGCTCTGGGCAGACAGGGAAAGTCCCTTATCTTCCTGGCCTATTGCTGTTGGGGTGTTCAGCATCCCCACTTTGATGCTCACTTGCAAACGCCCACCTAGTTCTGTTTTCCGTCCCCTCTGGGGCTTGCTTCAGGCCGAGCAAAGGTCAGTTCCTCTGAAAGCGTCAAGGGGGGCCCACCTGGCTACAGCAGGAAGTGATCCTCCCTCCAATGTGCCAGGAGCCCGAGGAGGGTGGATGGGGCCATGGGGTGGGGGCAGAAGGCTCCCTCATGGCAGACTATGCCAGGTCTGGAACACCTTGCTAAATTGGAAAAAGGAAGCCATTGACAATTCAGGGGTACAGAGTGACATTCCCCAGTATGATACCTGCACTATTGTGACTTGAGCACAGGTTGCTTGGCAGCAGAGTAAATTTCACATGTCAGCTCCGCATGTCCAATATGCTTGCAGCTCTGTCACTTCAGACACCCTCCTAGTGGACTCACTTGAGGAGCGGTTCCGAGAGGTCTTTGTGTCCATCAATCACCTCTTGCCAGATGACAAAGTGACCGCTTTACACCAGTCGGTGTATGTGAGGTAAGCCAGGCTACGGCACTGTCCGCACATGTGTCGAGCCGTCCTCTGGATTGGTAAAGCTGCGTGCAGCCCCACGAGGACTCTAGAGGAAGGAGAGCGTGTCTCCAGGTGCATTGGCCGCTTTGGTTACCCTCGGGATACTTAGACTGGGGTGCTGGACCCAGACCCAGACTGGGTGGATCTGGCCCATGGGAGGAAGGGCAGTAGAGGAGCAGCAGTGACCGCCCATCACACCTGCAGGATGGCGCTGCCCACCTAGCAGGCACTGCAGAGGTGCTGGGGGAAGGGAGGGGGAGGTGGGCAGGGAGGGAGAGGACGTGAGAAGGAACCATACTGAGAAGGAAGTGTGTCCTTCATTTACAGATGACTTTAACATTCACCGTTTATATGACATGTTTCCCCCACAACTCATGAGGAAGGTAAACCGAGGCATCGTTAACTGACAGTCAGGGGCCTGAAGCCTGAAGGGGTTGCCTGCTGCTGTGGCCCAAACCCCAAGAGGAGTGTGCTCTCTGCTCTGGAGAACAACAGCTTGTCAGCCTGTCCTTCCTCAGTGACAATCACCCCTGGACTGATAAGCGCCATTAGGGACAACTCATTTCTTGGGTCCTAAACCCTCAGCCTGGTGACACCAACTTTTTCTTTCATGATTGCATGATAGGACCAGGACTCTAAACTTTAGGGCAGTCAAAATTACAAAGGGATCCTGGGTGGCTTGGAAGGAAAGCACACACCAGGGCTCCCACCTCTGCCGGGAGTGTGTGTCATTTCTGGGGTACCACTTCTCTGCTCTGGTGGAGGGGGCATGCTCTCAGACATGCATACGTCCAGGCTGCAAGGAATTTGTGCCAGAAGAGCCTGCCATACTGTCCACGGGCACCCCATGTCCCCCAGGGTCCAGTAAAGAGCACTGGGGTAAAAGTGACACCCAAATGACCCCCATCTATGTGTCCATAATACAGCTCGGCCTGTCTCCTATCATTAGCTGTACAAAGTGTGGAAGTATGGCGGGCCTGCCACATAGGCAGTACTTCCCTGAGGTTGAGTGTTTTACAATGACTGTGTGATGTTCCTCTTACGGTGCTTTATATTGACTGAAATTGCAGTCTGTATTCAAGGGCAGGGAAATAGAGTTTATTTTTCTTTTTAGTAAGATTAAGTAAAAAAGCTTCCATTTCACAGCCCTTGGGTATTTATCACTAAGCCCATTCTTTTTCCACTTCAGGGAGGGCTGTGCCTCGGGTCGTGCGGTCACCTTGCAGTGCACAGGTAAGAGTCTTAGAATTGCAGTCATGAATGAAAGCACGTGCTGCTCACAGACTCTGTCCCCTGCCCCTCCCCCCCTCAGACTGGTCTGAGACCTTGTAGGTGCCGGGTGGAAGCTCAGGGGACCCCCACCTGCTGGAAGGGTAGAGCAGTGTAACCTGGTCTCACCCGTTGGGTGTGGGGAGGCAGCCAGAGAGACCTCTCCGCAGCTGACAGGACCGTGGTCCATGGGCCCTGTCACTCCATGGTGGCTCCAGGAGCCCGGCTCACTCAGTGTCCCCCCCGCTCCCCCCCCCCTCCTGCTGCCCCAGGGAAGTGTGGCTGCACAGCTCCTACCGACTGGCAGCCCTTGTCCCCGGCGGGGCAGTCCTTGCTGCAGGGCTTGGGTCTGAAGAGGCCAGGCCCATACATACCAGCCCTGCATAAGTGAGGAGCACGTGCAGAGGGTACCTCACTTCTGGCGTGTGTCACCATCCTAGGGACGCAGACATCACAGGGAGAGAGCTGACAGCACTGGGCTTTGCTCTGACGGCTCTTCCCCCTGCACCCACTGCTCACCCCACGCTCCCCCATGAATCCCTCTCCCTGGGCTGTGAGCTCCGGGGAGCGCAGGGTGCTGGGGAGTGGGGAGGTTTGTGGATCGAGCCCCCACCCTTGTTGCCCCTCGGCAGCCTGTGGCCTGAGAAGGAACTACAGTTCGCGCATCGTGGGTGGAAACGTGTCCTCGCTCATGCAGTGGCCCTGGCAGGCCAGCCTTCAGTTCCAGGGCTACCACCTGTGTGGGGGCTCCATCATCACCCCCGTGTGGGTCGTCACCGCTGCCCACTGTGTCTATGAGTGAGTGCTCCCGCCCTCTGAGCTGTGGGCCCTCACCTTCCTCAGACGCTGCTCGGTCCGGGCCAGGTTGGGATGGACTGGGTGGTCAGCAGCAGGCCTGCACAGCTGGCCAGCAGACCAGATGGTTGCAAAGAAATGTCAGCTGGGGGACCCCTCCCTCCTCACCCTGGATCCACCATCAGCAGCTGGGTGTGACTGAAGACCCAAAGCTCACTTTAAGGTTTTGACACCTGCAGTTCTTACAGACAGGGTGGCAAGGGCTGGAAGGATGCTGTGTGCAGGAGGAAAGCCACCAGCATGAAGGCCCTAGTCCCCCTGCAGCTCATCACAGGGTACTGTGCTGTGGCCGAGAGGGTGAGAGCATGCAGGGCGGGTGAGGATGCCGAGTCTCCCCAGAGCAGTCTCTCAAAGGAGTTCAGCGTGGCGGAAAACCACAGAAAATACTTCCCAGCACAGTGGCTCCTTCTCCCTGCTTTTCTTACTCCCTCTATCTGGCTGCTTTCCGATGGAGAATGGGCCCTCATGGACCCCTGACAGTCAGCAAAGCTGAGCTCAATTCTCAAATGCTGTGAAGTCCCCAGAGGTGCAAGGATCGAGGCCTGTCTAGGAAACTCAGGGGTGGGCTCTGCAGGGCCCGGGAGCCAGGGTCAGATGCTGTGTGCCAGTAAGCAGGGCAGTGGACCATCCCCCACCATTTCCCTGGCACCGGCTCTCAGACACCTGAGCTCCCTGGGTTAAAGGGCTTGGGCTTTTCCTGCTTCACCTCTCAGCCTTCTCTTTGCAGCCTATACCTCCCCAAGTCATGGACCATCCAGGTGGGCCTAGTTTCCCTGCTGGACAGCCCAGCCCCTTCCCAACTGGTGGAGAAAATCATCTACCATAGCAAGTACAAGCCGAAGAGGCTGGGCAACGATATCGCCCTCATGAAGCTGGCTGGGCCCCTCACCTTCAATGGTACGTCTGGGTTTCTTTGTTCCTCTTATTTGTTTCAAAAGAATTTGCCATTCCTTATTGAAGCATTTTTGTAATGGCTGGTTTACACTCCTTGCAAGGTAATGCCAGTGGTTGGTTCATTTCAGTGTTGGCATCAGTTGATTGTCTTTTCTTATTAAGGTTGTGATTTTCCTGGTTCTTGGTATGATGAGTAATTTCCAGTGGACATTGGCTCTTTTGTTAGGATGTGCTGCACCTTACACGCATCTTCAGTGTTAGCAGGTGGCCACCTTGTGCAGGTTCACTGTGCTGGTCTTGGTCCATTTTGTGGGGTGTGGTTCTGGCAATAATTTGATTTCAGAGTCTTCATGGTTCTGTGCTGTTCACCTTGGTTGGTCTGGTGTCACTGGGCTCCCTCTGGTGTCACTTTCTTCCTGCTGGTGCTACCTAAAGATGAGAGGGACGTCCCCAGGCCAGGCCACCTTGTGCCTCAGCTGGTGGGAGGAAGTTTGCCCTTTCCAGTGCGTGTTGTGGTGAGGGCCCCTGCCAGTGCCACTCACCTTCCCAGGGTCTCATCTTGACCAAGAAAGAGACCACTTCCTAGGCCAGCTGGCTGGTTGAGGTGGGATCCTCCATGCAGCCATTTCTTTACAAACTAGAACACACTGGGTTTCCTCGGCTCCTTGAAGTATTCAGAAATATGCTGCCACGACCAGCTGCAGAGTTCAGCAGCCTTTCTTTCTCCATGGGAAACGTCAAGTCATGACCTCTAGAGGTTACAAAGTCACCAGAAAAGCTACACAGGATAGAACTTTCAAGCATTTTGAGATGCAAACAAAGCATATCACTCCTACTCCTAATAAATTAAATCCTATTCCTAAATAAATTAAAGTCCCCTTCTCCTTTCCAAAGGGTACACAGCACTTGGAGTGCTGGCAGAGTGTAATAAACAAGGCCCTTATTGGAGCAGAGCCCTTGTGCAAGACCAGGGGTGGGTTTGACCTGGGAGAACTGTCACTGTGTTTATTACATAGCGCACATGATACTCTATGCAAAACATTCTGAAACAAATATTTCTAGAGAAACAACAAGAAATTGGTAGTGGTGGTGTTCATGTGTTAACTGTTATTGATGATAGTTGGTTATAAAAAATGAAGTGCCCAAAGTTATATTTTGACAGAAATTAAAACGAGCAGTCCTATGCCTTTCCCACCTTTGTGTTTTGTCCTAGGACAAGCTTAGCGCCTGTCATAGTGTATTCATGTCAGGGCCCCACAACGGCTGCTACACTGTCTTTGCTGGAGGGCGACTGTGACGGCCCACGTGGACAGGCAGGCCTGCTGCCTCCAGAAGTGTCAGGCAGGGTAGGAAAGTTCATGGAGGGATGCTCTGTAAGGCAGCACACCCACAGTCCAGGCCAGGGGTGGGCACACTATGGCCCCCAGCCATGTCTGCCCCTTTGCCTACTTTTGTAAATAAAGGTTTATCGGCACACAGCTGGGCCCTTTTGTTTCCTCTTGTCTGTGGCTGCTTCCCTGCTACTGTGGCAGAGTTGAACGGTTGTGATAGAAACCACTTGGCCTGCAAAGCCTCAGATATTTACTGTTTGGCCCTTCACAGAAAATATGCCAAACCTGGTCTAGTTGCACTCATGTTGTTCAGTCCAGGATTGTGTTAAAGTTTTGAGGCCCTGGTGGGGGAGGGATCTCTGCTCTACGCTAGTAGCTTTTAAATGACCAAGGACTTGAGCCTTCTTTGGGGGATAATTTGCACTCTGCCGAGAGGTAACCACAGATGAGATTAACTTTTTCTCCAACTACTGCTTCAACTAAGTGGAAGGTTGTTGTGTTCCCCTTATGCAGAGATGATCCAACCAGTTTGTCTGCCCAACTCTGAGGAGAACTTTCCTGATGGAAAAACATGCTGGACATCTGGATGGGGGGCCACAGAGGATGGAGGTCAGTGGTGTGAAACCAAGATTCTGAGACCAGGGAGCCCAGAACCGAGAGGGCCAGATTGGATGGCCATAACCACACTCTGCCATCCAGTCCAGAGGTGGTGTTCCTGTGGGATGTGGGGCTCCCGTGACATGCCCACATGTCCTGGTCAGGGGGTGCCAGTCAACTGCTGGAAACCTGCAGGATGCTGAGGAGTTGTGGGTCATGGGTCCAGGTCCCAGGTCCCACTTGTCTTAGGACATGAGCTTGCAGACTTCCTCAGGAGAGAAATAAATCAGGAAGGGTGACGGCAGACATTCGCATGGCGGGGAGACCCCTGCCTCTGTTGGGTGGTCCTCCCACCTCCTCTCATCCCCGCTCCCACCTGTGGTGACCAAGTACAGGGAGCCTCTCCCAAGCTGTATTTGCCAGGCTGGGATTTTTGTCTTGCAGGACTGGAGGCTGCGTTGCATCATTCCACAGGGGTTAGGCAGGACAAGCAAACAGGACCTTGTTGCTATCACCCTAACAAGTCGGTTGCTTTCCTTGTTAATAGGAAGAGAATGAGTTTGCTGAGGCCGTTGTAACAAATCACGATAAACAGGGCTTCAAACAGCAAAGCCTTTGTGTTCTTCCCAGTCTGGGGGCCAGAACTCCGGAATCAGGATGTGGGCAGGGTTGGGTCCCTCTGGGGGCCCTTAGAGGGAATCTGGTGCAGGCCTTTCTCCCAGCCTGTGGGGTTGCTGGCAACCTTGGGGTTCCTCGGAGTGCAGACGCATCATTGCAGCCTCTGCCCAGCTCTCCCTGGCTTCTCCTATGTCTGTGTGTCAGATCTCCCTCTCCTTTCTCTTGTAAGGAAACCAGTCTTTGGATTTAAGACACACCCAAAATCCAGGATGCTCTTGTCTTGTGAGTCTTACCTTAATATATCTGCAAAGACTCTATTCCAAATAAGATCACTTTCTAAGGCCACAGGTGGGCATGTTTTGGGGGAGTCACAATTCAACCCAGTACAGGAAGTTCAGTAGTTTCCTCTTGAGATTTATTTGCTAGGTTGACCCACTCCTGACATCCCAGGCACGTGGGAACTTACCTACACCAAAAGGTCAATCCTGCAGGACAGGGTCTGATCCATGTGGCTTGCTATATCCCTCTACCCATATTGGAAGCTTCTTGCACAAATGCGCTGAGCTCTGTCTCACCATTTACCAAGTGCAGAGCTGCATGTCTCAGTGAGATACTGTCTGCTCGTCACAGCAGATGACAGTGATGCGGGCTCATCTCGAGGGCCAGCACATGGGCCAGGGGCGTGGAGCAGCTTGCTTGGGCTCACGTGACCAGGTTGTGGGAGGGCTGGGATTCCACCTTTGTGTTCCCACCCAAGTCCCTATGCATGCAGCTACGCATGAACTTGGAGTACCTGAATATGATTACTTCATCATTACTGCATCCTTAGGAAGCAAGTAGGGGCAGGATCTGCATCACAAGCCAGGTGGTCCCCCGAAGCAAGGATGGAGAATGTGTGGGTGGATTGGGGAAGCACGTGCAGAAAGCAGGGGCAACTCACACTCATAAAACACTTACAGTGTAGGATTTGAGGACCGCAGACCTAGCACCACCTGCTCACACATGCTAGAGGAACGGGAAAGGGGAGTGCCCTACTCCATGCCTATAGAACAAAGGCAGCCAGTTTTGCAGACAGGCGATGCTCAAGGGCGCTGATCTCTTGGGGTTGGTAGGGAGGCTGATCCACTGCAGATGCATGAGTTTTCCTGTGGCTGCTGCAACAAAGCCAAATTTAGTGGCTTAAAATCATCCAAATGTATAATCTACAGCTGTGGAGCTGAGATAGCCTATACCAGTCTCAGCCAGAGTCAGTATGCTGGAAGACTGATGCCTTCTGGGGGCTCTGCGGGAGAGCCCCTCCCCTGGCCTTCTCCATTATGGAATCTGCCTGTGTTCCTGGGCTGCTGGCCCCCTCCTCCTTATTGACTGCCTCTGTAGCATCTGCAGACCCCTCCCTCTCCGACAGCCCAGGGCCATGTCCCCATCCCATATGCACGCGTGGTCACAGGCTCCAGGACTGGGACATTGTGTGTGTGACTTTCATGAGCCTCAGCTTCCTTTCTGTAACCTGAGCTGTTCTGGGGACTAAACAGGCCAGTATGGGTCAGGTGCTTGGCCCAGGGTAGGCCTGGGCAGATCCATGCTCCCTTCTACTGATCCCCTGTGCTCTGACCCCCTGGGTTGGTCACCTTGGGGAAGTGAGTGGCCTTGTGGGAAGCAGCTGGCCACATGGCCCATGCTCCCGTGGCGTTAGGGAGCAGGGCTCTGGGACTCTCCAGTGTTCACGACAGTCTCCCCATCGCCCCACTCCCGGCCCAGATTTCTCCACTCCGGCTCTGTCTGGGTCTTCCTCTACCCCGTGTGCACCCTGAGTCCAAGTAGGACCTCCAGACACATGTGCCTATCTTTGCTCTGACACAGGTGATGCCTCCCCTGTCCTCAACCATGCAGCTGTGCCTTTAATCTCCAACAAGATCTGCAACCACAGGGACGTGTATGGTGGCATCATCTCCCCCTCCATGCTCTGTGCTGGCTACCTGAAAGGCGGCGTGGACAGCTGCCAGGTAGGCCCTCTGTGACCCCTGGGGGCCACGGCAGATGAGGTGAGGCTCTGGTATGGTGGCCCAGCCCATGGGACAGGTCACTGCCAGCATTTCCCTGTGATTGACTGAAAAGCAAATTTACAGGGTGTGGGAGAGAAGTTTGCTCAAGATATTATTCCCTTCCTGGCTGGACGGGTCCTGTTTACACAAAGCTCCACTCTGCCTGGGAACTGGGTGGCCAGGGGTCTCGAGGGCACTTTCCTCCCCAGCCTGGTCCTCAGAGTCTTCATGAGGACCCGGGGGTAGACCGCAGGCGGGAGCCTGTGAATCTGACCTCCAAAGTTAGGGTGGGTGGGACTCCCACACTGCTGGTTTGGAGGTCAGCTAGAGCTCCCACCTGGCAGACCCTCCCTCTGGGGGCGCCCTGCTGCCTTGACCTTAATGGGCTCCGTTCAGAGTGTCTAGAATCTAGGGGGACTCAGCTGGGGGAGAGCATTGCCAAGGGATAAGGGGCCTCACCGTGGGGAAGGCCGAGGTCGCTCCAGGAGCTGTGGGGTGTGAGTACAGAGCCAGCCTGGCACCATATTCCCTGATGGGTGAAGGGGGAGCTCCTGCAACAACAGGGACACCCCACATCAGTGCCATTCCAGCCCCTTTGTCTCTTCTTGCGCCACCTAGGGAGACAGCGGGGGGCCCCTGGTGTGTCAGGAGAGGCGAGTCTGGAAGTTGGTGGGAACCACAAGCTTTGGCATCGGCTGTGCTGAGGCTAATAAGCCTGGCGTCTACACCCGCATCACCTCCTTCCTGGACTGGATCCACGAGCAGATGGAGGTGGGTGCAGCCCCTTCCCACCTCAAGCTGGTGCCCTCATTCCACCGCTAGCATTCTTCCTGGGTGGCCCTGCCCTGCTGTGCAGAGCCAGGCCATGATCCGTAAGCTGTGGATACAGCACCCTGGGTTTTGTTCCTGGGTGTCAGACGTGAGCACAGCCAAGGCTCTGGGGAGTGTAGTCCTGTTTGGGTGGGTACACACAGGTGGGACATGAAGGACAAACATGCCTCTGCCATGTGGGGAAAGGAGGGGTGGCCAGATGGGTGCATGTGTGCATGGCAGAAAGCGTGCACACAGTGGAGACAGGTGGGTGAAGGTCTGACCTGGAGACCCCCAGTGCCCACTGAGGAGTTTGGACCTTGCTGAGAGCCAGGGGTAGAATGGGGAGTCTCTGATCAGGGGAGGCCTGGGCAGCTCTTGTTTTGGGGGCCTCCCTGCAGGGCGAGGAGACTGGAGGAGGGCCAGGACTCTGTGAGGCTGGCCATGTGGCCGGGCAGGTCTCTCCCTGTGCACTAGGTTAAACCTGAGCCCTGACAGGGAAGGGCTCTTGACTCTAGGAGGGAAAGAATTCTCAGTCAGGTCAAATAAGTGCCAGCAAGAAAGGAATTTGTTAAAGCAAGAGTAGAGGCAAATGTCAGCAGCCACGCAGGCAGCAGAGAGCAAGAAAGAGCAGAGGTGGGGGAGGACGCCCACTGAACCCCTGCTCAGCACAGGGCAGGTGCCCTGCCAGCTCCTGAAGCCACGCTCACCTGGTGTACAGTGTCTGCTTTTGTCTGCATGGTGTGGGATCATGTCCGTACCATCTCAGGATTTGGGGGAGTTTTGGAGCACTGGAGGGAGAAAGTTTATGTTCTGAGAACTTCTGTTTCCGTACTGGTCTGAACTAAAACAGGGAGAGAGAGAAAGGATTGCATCAAGACTAGAGAGCTGAAGAAAATAGCAGAGGGACAGAGACACTTTTCACTGGAGGTGGAGTTCAGAGAGTTTTTGTCTTTTTCATGAAAGAGTTCAGAGACAAGTGCAATAGGCTTATTCAGGATGAAGGTTTATTTGATAAGACAGTGCACGCTCAGATGGGAGTGTGAGTGACCTCAGGGAGGAGGCACGCTTGAGGGTGTAGGGTTCAGGGTTTTATAGGGCCTTTTGGGTTGGGGGTCAGCCTAAGGCATGATGTACACAGGTGATTTATAATTCCTTTGAAGTTTTGTCTTAAGAACAGGGTTATTGAGGTGACGGGTATTAATCCAGATCTCAACATTCTTTATCCACATAGGTTCATTTGCACTTGGAGGTATGCCTCTCATCCTGGTTACAAAGTTACTTAATTGATGAAGGGGCTAGAAGAAGAGGAAAAACAGCCTATAGTTTTAAGTTAAAGAATAATCTGGGCCTTTGTCTGCAGGCTAAGTAGATTTTACAATGGCCTGACCCTTGTCCCATTTCCCTGCTGTATCTCAGCTTGGCAGAACCAGGGTGGGCAGTGGGAGCCCGGGAGATAGGGGGGAGGGAGAGCCCTGGGAAAGGGAGCACCGCGGGTGACGTGGGTGCCCAGATGGGAGGGCTGCAGGGCCACGTAGGAGCCCGGGGCCTTCGGCCCTGTGGGTGCTCAGCTAATACTGACTGACTCGCTCTCTGACTCTGAGCCCCACATCCTGCCTTAGATCAGTTTCAAAGACCTTTGGTGTTCTTTTTAATCGAGGTAAAATTTATATAATATAAAATTAACCATTTAAAGTGAACAATCCAGTGGCATTGACACACCCATGGTGCTGTGGGGCCACCACCTCTGTCCAGTGGCAAGGATTTTCATCTGAAATAAACCCAGGAAGCAGTCTCCCCTGACGGCCTCTCCCAGGCTCTAGCTGCCAGTCACCTGCTTTCTGCCCCTTCAGATCAAAGCCCTTTTTAAAAGGCCCTTTTACTTTGAAATAATTGGCTAAGGACATCATTCTCCTCATGTGCCTGGGGAGTTAATTTCCACTTCTTCCTCCTTGAATTTTTCCTACAATGAGTCACACACAGTGGTTGCCCCACCACCACCACCACCACCACCACCCCCGTGCCAGGCTGACTCCCCACTGCTGGGACTGGGCCTGGCTTGAACCCAGCCCTGAGTGTCCTCTGCAGACAGGTCGTCGGACCCTCAGTGCTGGCCCACTGCCAGGCAGTGCTGGAAGACATGCTGTCTTGGGGGTGCTCGTTTTGTGGCACGGGGTGGATCTGGGCCTCCATGTGGCTGCACCAGGGGCAGAGGGGCCGGGTGGCCAAGCTAGGAACCATGGGACGTGTGGGTGGAGCAAACCTACTCCCACTGTGAAGTTGTGGAGGTGGGCAATGGGGGGCGGGGGCAGGGCCCCCAACTCGGCTGGGCACCCTCCACAGTGCTGCTGTCAGTCTCCCTCAAGGCCATTCGGGGTGACAGGTTCCAGGAGCGCCACACATCACAGGTGAGGGGACCTGCTGCGGGCCTCCATGCTAGTGCGGGCAGAGCTCCCCTCCAGCCCTGCCATGCTGCTCAGCAGAGCTGACAGATCTTCCACAGGGGGCATGGCACTTCCTGGCTGCTGTGAGCATTGAAGATTCCCAGGATGCTTTGCAGAGGGTCTGATTGGGGCTGTGAGGTGAGGGCCCTGGCCGTTGGGGATGGTGGCAATCCTGATGCCTGGGAGGGGCACCAGTTGCCTCCTGCCACTGAGGGTCTGTGTGAGCCACGCCCTCTGGCAAGTTTCTCTTCCGATTTGGGAGACCCGGACAGGCTTGGCTTCCCTGAGAGGTTTTCCAGAGCATCTATTTTTGGTTGTCTCTTTTGAGCATGTATGTGAGGGCCTCCCACCTGCTCACACCATTTATTAGCATGGAATGACCCCATTTATTAGCAGATGGGACCACCTGCTGGGTGGTTTTCTCTATTTAGGGCTTGAAACAAAATTGTTCTGACTCAAATGGGCCTTCAGAACATAATGCTAAGAGCTGGCAAGTTCACATGGAACTAGAAAACTCCCAGGTCGGTGATGGGAAATACAGGGCATGGTCGGCAGGAGGTGAGGGCCGGGAGGGCCGTTGCACAGCCATCTGGGGTCGGCCCAGAACCAGCATCTCCTCCTGCGCAGCTGACTGGTCCCCATCACTCCTGGGGAGCGACCACCGCCTTCACTCCTGCTCACATGCAGTTGCTCACTTGATCTTAATGTTGGAGAGATGGCTTGGAGTCCTATAAAAATAACTATGTTTTCATTTCTAGAGGGACCTGAAAACTTGAAGGGAAAGGGGACAAGCCACCACCTCACATTTCTGCCATGAGGGAGACGTCCGCACCCTCCCATGCGGGAACCGGCAACAGTGGGGCAAGGAGGATCGGCTGCACGTCCCCCTACGTCTAGGACAACTTGCTCCTAACACCTCTAAGAGTCTTTTGGGCAACAGACTCTAAGGCCTTGAAGCTCCTTCCTGAGTCACTATGACCAGGAGCAGGAAGGCCTCTGAAGTGCTAGCTTCCCCATTTGTCCATTTGGGTTCCTCTCCGGGGGTGTCAACACTCCTGACAGTGAGGGAACAGCCCTTCAGTAGAGCCGGTACGGATGCACTGTCTGCATGTTTCACTCCTACGCCCCAGACCCCAACCAAAATATTTCACTTCCATGATCTCTTTTTATATGTGGGAACCCAGCCTACAAGTGATTAGTCTGAAGGTTTATTTCTCTTTTCTTGTAGTATCTGGTGCTTGGTGTATTCTTGTCCCTCGCTCCCACAGGACCCGTGCTCTCTTGATGCTGTTATCAGTCAGAGCTTGTCTGAATGGATGCTGACTGCTTGTGTAAATTGAAATCAACTTGAGTTTAGAGGCTCCATTATACTTTGATCTCTTCTGTATACATTGTGGGGTTTGCATTTTTCTGTTAGAACAGATGTCTCAGCAGATCAGAATTATATTTATGATGTCATAAGACTCAGAAGCAGAGAAAGAACAGAAAGTCCTGGATAAGACAGGACCCCTGAACCCCACACAGAGGACACTGAAGGCAAAGAGCAGAGATAGTCACGTGTCATCAAGAGGCCACAGACATCCCTACCTCTCTGGACAGTTCCACTAATCTACCTGTGGGATTAGAGACCCTTCCCGGTACCCACACACCCTGTGTAGTCCCCACAGCATACATGCAGCAGAGAAAGTTTACTTGGTAAGACATCATTGTCCAGAGGCCCTGGATCACACATGAATTCGTCAAGTATGAACCCTTTGCTTTGCCTTGAGGCCATGGTAGCAAAGACAGGTGGCTTTCAAGGAGAGAGCAGGATGGGCCAGGTGCCTGGGGAGGGAGCCCCCAGGGGGTCTGCGAGGAGGGGGAGGGGAGGGGAAGGGGGAAGAGGCCTGAAAGACACAGCTGGCCCTGCCCTGTCTCAGAGTCAGGGCACAGATCTCTGTGTGTCAGAAAGTGACAAGGCCATTTTTGTATTCAGTGTTTTTCCCCAGGTCTTTGAAGGTAGTGGTGGCCTGTGCGTTGAAGGTCACGTGGGGAAAAGATCAAAGACCTCACGTGGGAGCCTCTGCTGAGAGACCTCAACTGAGCCGGCAGCCACAGGTGTTTGATGCCTGCGGTAACCTTATTCTTCTTTAATCACCACTGAGTGTTGTGAGGAAGTATTTCCCTAGGAAATATAAGGTGGTGCCAATGGTGGGCAATTGGTGCGTGTGAACCACATGCCTGGCACTGTCCCCCTAAGTCTCACATGTTTACTCATTTGTTGCAGCCCCTATAAGGCAGGAGGAACCATCCGTCCCGTTCCAGAGATGAGGAAACAGGTGTAGAGAAGTGACTTCCCCAAACTACCCATCGGGCCGGAGGGGCATTGGGGGTTTGCACCAGGCTCATCATAGCAGGAGTTAAAGAATGAGCTGATAGCAAAGCTACACCCTTTGGCATTTGAGTCTCAAGGGACTTTGTGCCATCAATTTGAACCCATTGCAATGTATTAGTCATTCAAAGTCACGACCTTCTCCAGAAATATTTGGTCTTGATGGAGACATTTGCTGGCGTGAGCTGCAGGTTGGTGGGTAGGACTGTTGTCGACTTGTTCCTCTTCTCCAAGGACACCGCTTAGCACCTACCTCTGGCAAGGCCAGTGGGGTCGGGACAGAAAGTTGTGGCCAGAGCACGCCTACCCTGGCCTGCCACCAGAGGAACAGCTGGAGGAGCAGGCTACAGATGGAGCGGGCTGCCTCCCCTGGCGACTTAGCCCTGAAGACGGGACTGTGGGGCATCCCTGTCCCAGTGCAGTGAATGGGAGACCCCCACCTGTGTGCTGACATCCACGGAAACAGTCCTCCTCTCTCAGGAACTGTAGTATTTGATACAGCTTTATCTCCGCATTGTAACAAGATTACAGAAGCCTAAAGATACTATAGAAAGTTTGGAAAGGTGTGTTACAAATCGGCCAACAAATTAAACACTCCAGTTGGCCATGAACACTGTGAGAACTTTCTCCTCCTCCTAAAGGGGGCTCCTGGCAATGGTCCGGGGACACCTGCATATTTCTTCCCCATCTCACGTGAGAAAACCGCCTGTGGTGGTGCAGGAAGGCGTGAGGAGGGCTTGGGTGTGCAAACACATGCCAGCCCAGGGGCCACTGGGGGCTTAAGAACTTCCCGGGGCAAGTGCAGCCGGACTGGTCTGGGCGTCCAAAGGTTGGCTCCGCTGCCGGAATTCCCCAAAGAGCAACACTGGGTCGGGAGGCATTGGTAAGAGCTATACCCTATTCACATGGGTGGTGCAAGTTCCCCAAGGCTTGGCCTCCAGCCCCTGGGGGGCAAAGGGGCCTCCAGCCATACAGACATAGAGTCACAACCAAGAAGAGCAAATTCACACTTCACAGCCTTAAACAATAGTGACTTCAAATCAATTACTCCAAATCAATCCATCAATTACTCTTGGGCCACCTTTTCCCCCACAGCATGAAAAAGGAAACCTCACTAAGCTTACTGCCCCTCTGGCGACTTGGGGCACCACGTTCCCCGTGTCTTCATGGGCGGTGGACCAGCTCCGCACACAGACCTGCAGTCTGTGCCTCTGCTCTGGCGTGGCTTCTGGAGACGGGCTGCGTTCCCGTACCCTTGCCTCTTCCGGCTTGCCTAAGTTGTCTGAATTTTCCCCAGATTCGTGGACACCTGGAAGCCATTTTTCAGGTTCCCTGGATACTTGGTGTGTGTGCGTGATCGCACATTATAGTGACATGTATGATGAGATCATTTATTTCTGAGCCTGCTTCTCTAAGCTAAGAGCTTAGAAGTGGGTTGCCCTCCACCTCCCTGGGTATCCAGCACGCAACCCACGAAGGCACAGAAGCTGCTCATGGTCACAGGTGGAATGAATAAATGGCGATGCAGTCAGCATGCCTATGAATGGGCCCCTGAGTCCCGCCATAGACCAGCACATTGGCTGGGAAATAGGTGGAAATCAACCCAAAGATAACATTTATCATTTAAAATCATGATTTATTTTTAAAAAATCTCCACGTCTTCCCTTGAAAGTACAAAACAACTAGTCAGTGTGTAAGAATTGAATCCTGCTATGTCTCATTTCTACACGCGTCTGGTCTGCCTAAGCATGATCCAAATCATGTTAGGAAAAAACAAGCTCAAAGTCTAGTTCACAGAACAAAGGTCAGTGGTATCACCAAAGGGTGAGAAATTACAAAATGAAAGGGTTTTTTTAAAGAATGAAAAGGCAACAATAGCGATGGCCTTTAAAATCCATTGGCTGAAAAGTTGATAATCATGTTTTCAGACTTGAGGAGAAAGGCGCTCATGACACATTTTCTTGATCCAGGCCGTTTCTGGCTTTCCCCCGTCCTTCCCTTTTACCCCAGGCGCCAGCTGGAAGTTTCTGCCCACCGCCCTTCCCTGGGTAAGGCTGGGGCGCGGCGGGAGGCTGCAGGGAGAGCCGGGGTTCGCTGCCCCCCACCCATGTCGCGGCCACCGCGGGCGCTCTCCTGCCCCGACCGGTGCGAGGGCGGGCCACCTGCACCCTGGTCCCCTCAGTCCTGGGAGCGGCCCAGCACAGGCTGTCCCCCTGCAGGGTGAGGTGCTGGAGGCCCCCGCAGCGATGGCAATAATTTGTATACTATTCATGGGTCTCAGCACAGTGTCACCGCTTCGTGCTCATTTCCTGCAGGCACCGAGGAAAAGGCAAGGAAAGGGACCGAACGGGGGTGCGAACGTCCCTAGGTCCAGACAGCTGCTCACTGATCCCACTACTTCCTTCTAGAAACTTCCCAGGCCTGGCCGCCAGGGGGCGCTCGGAGCCGGACAGCCACTCCCTCCCACTCGTGCTGGTCACTGCAAAGTTCCAGATTATTTCCCAGGCCGGGTGGGGCTGCTGCCTGGACCTGTGACCTTGTGCCGCATCTCACCTTCCCCTGGCTGGTTAGAGGGAGGCTTGCTGCCACCATAGTCGGGGAGTGGGGCGCCCTGTGCATCCGAGCCAGCCACAGGAAGGAGGCGAGACGGCCCGGCAGGTGTCAGGGCCCAGGCGCTGTGCCGGCGTGTGTACCCGCTTCCTCCCGGCAGGAGTCAGTCCTTCAGCTATGAGCGCGGGGGAGCCCTCCTGCCGGCCGGGCTTGCCCAGGCGGGAGCTGCTCGGCGGGCCTCCGTAGGTGGGCGGGGGGCGGTTATCGTCCCGGCTCAGGCACGCCAGCGGCAGGGGCGGTGGCTGGGGATCCTGCCCGACCATCTCCAGAGAATTCCCTGGATGAGCAGCCATGCCAACCACGCGGAGGGTTGTTGAGAGAAATAACCATAAAAATTATGTTTTACATTGTATTCGGTTTACACAGTCACACGAACTCTGATTGCAGAAACATTCTTATTGGACTAGTACTTTTTCAAATTGCAGTTTGCACTGAGGTAGCGGTACAGGCACCTGCAGTGGTGGGACCCATCCCGAGGGGTCCCCTGTACCCGGGCCCACGGTTCCCTGATGTGACGCCTCAAAGCAAAGCTGCCGCCTGGTATTGGAACAGGACATGTACAGTGATCAGGGCTGCTGATCTTACTCAGACCTCTCCAGTTTTACTTGTGCTGGTGTGTGTGTATGTGTGTGTCTGCGTGTGTGTGTGTGTGTGTGTGTGTGTGTGTCTGTGGGGGGTGGATATTTAGCTCCATGCCCTGTGTGGAGCCTGTGTAGCTCCATAAATTCACCCCACAGTGAAGATGCTGAACAGTTTCATTGCCCTTTTAAGAACCACACCAAACTCTTTCACAAATCCATCACCTTCACCCCCAGCCTTAACCCTTGGCAACCACTGACCTATTCTCCGGTTCTAAAACATGGCCATTTCAAATGTTATATAATGCAATCAGTTTTTATTTCCCTCAAAGGAATGCCCGGGGGTGCAGGTGGTGACTGAGAAGGTGGTTGCATACTTAGATTTTTTTAGGAAACTGATACCTCCTTTCCAGAGTGACTCCACGACTTCACATTCCTGCCAGAAATGTATGAGAGCTCCCGTTTTCCAAGTCCTCATCAGGCCCTGGTGTGGCACTGTGTTTTATTTTAGCCATTGGGATGGGTGCCTGGTGGCATCTCGCCGTGGTTGTGATGTGCATCTCCCTGATGGCTATGATGCTGTGTGTCTGTTAACATGCTCCTTGGCCTCTGTGGATGCTCTTGATGGAATGTCTGCTCGTGTGTTTTGGCCATTTTCGTATTAGATTTTCTGCTGTTGAGTTGTGAGAGTTGTTTATACACTCCAGATACAAGTCCTTTGTTAGATATGCAGTTTGCAAGTATTTTCTCCCAGTCTGTGGCTTGTCTGTCTATCTTCCTCTCACGGGCATTCACAGAGCAGAAGTTTTTAATTTTGGTGAGGCCCGATATATCAATTTTTCCTTTTGTCTGTTGTGTTTATGGTGCCAAGTTGAATAACTCCTTGCCTAGTTCTAGCTTCCAAAGATTTTTGCTTATTTTTTCCCTAAATGATGTATAGTTTTATGTTTTGCATTTAATTCTATGATGCATTTTGAGTTAATTTTTGTGTAGGATGTGAACTTTAGGTCAAGGTTCATTTTTTTGGACATTTGGGTGTCTAATTGTTCCAGCACCATTTGTGAAAGAGGCTATCTCTTCTCCCTTGAATTGCTTTTACACCTTTGCCAAAAATCAGCTGGGCATATTGTGTGGGCCTATTTCTGAGTCCTCTGCTATTTCTGTTCATCTCTGTGTCTGTCCATTTGCTAATACCCCGTTGTCTTGATTACTGCAGTGATATCGTAAGCCTTTTTATCAGATAGAGTGGTTCCTCTCATTTTACTCTTCCTTTTCAACATTGTTGTAGGTATTCCAGGGCCCGTAACTTTCCATATAAATTTTAAAATATGCCTATCTATTTCTACAAAAAACTTTGATGGAATTGATAAGAAATGCACAAACCTATAGATTAATCTGGGGAGCATTACCATCTTTACTATGTTGTCTTCCAATCCATGTACATGGTATATCTCTATTTATTAGGTCTTCCTTAATTTCTTTCATCAGAATATTACCATTTTCAAAATATAGATCCTTAAGTTGTGTTAAGTGTTTACCTAAGTATTCCTCTTTTCAAGTGATCATAAATGGTATTGTTCTTAATGTCAGGTCTGCGTGTTTACTGATCATATATAGAAATGCCGTCACTTTATGTGGGCTGGTCTTGTACCCCATGACTTTGCTGAACTCATTATTTCTAAGAGTTTGGGTTTTTTGGTCTCTTATTATTTCTAAGAATTTGAGTTTTTTGGTAGATTCCTTGGGATTTTATATGTAGGTGTTCATGCCATCTGTAAACAGATAGTTTCATTTTTTTCCCTTCTCATCTGTATGCTTTTTATTTCTTTTTCTTCCCTTATTCCAGTGGCTAGAAATTCCAGGACTACTTTGAATAAAGGTGGTGTGAGCAGACAACCTTGCCCTGTTCCCAGTCTTAGGGGAAAATATTTAGAATTTATTCAGCATGACATCAGCTGTAGGTGTCTTATAAATGCTTTTATTCCCTTCGAGATAATTCCCCTAATTTACTAACTTCTAAGAGTTGTTTTCATGAATGGCTGTTGTATTTTGCCTGTATTTTTTTGATGTGAGTTGACATGGCCATAGGATTGTTCTTTAGTTTGTCGATATGGTGGATTACATTGTTTATTTTCTGATGTTGAACCCATCTTTTATAGCCAGAATAAATCCTACTTGGTCATGCTGTTTAATTCCTCTCTATACATTTTTGAATTAGGTCTGCTAATATTTTCTTGAGGAATTTCCCATCTAAGTTCATGAGAGAGATTAGCCTCGCATTGTCTTTTTTGTGTGTTGTTTTTGTCTGGTTTTGGCATCAGGGTAATGCTGGCCTCACAAAATGAGTTGGGAAATATTTATCCCTCTTTTATTTTCTGGAAGTGTCTAATTAATAAGTTAATTCTCATTGTATTTATGAGTGAAATT